GGTTGGAGCAGCAGTATTTTACAACAGCTCTAGTATTCAGCAGCTTCAGTCCTCCAGCTCTAATTCTAAATTCTATGAGAATGAATCAGTGTCTCCAAACTGCAGCCTGCAGAATATAAACCGTCGCCTGTAACATGTAGCCTGAAGCCTGTAGCTGAAGCATGCAGCCTATAGTCTGTAGCATGGTGCTGAAGCATGCAGCCCGTAACATAAAGCCTGTAGCCTTTACCATGCAACCTGTAGCATGCAGCCTGTACCCACTAGCCTGAAGTCTAGAGTCTGTAGCATGTACCCACCAGCTTTTAGCTTGAACCTGGAGCCTGCAATATGCAGTCTTGGGTCCTTGGCATGCAGGCAGTGTGAAGGACTTCCAGGGAACTAAATGTCTGCTTATCAGGTGAATTAGGAAAAACAGTAAAACGGTTTCTATAATAACAATAAAACAATAAAAAATAAGCCGTGGGGACATATGCTGTCCACTGGTTACAGATGTTTAATTAAACTCTCATTCCTGTTGATCCTGAACAAAAACCTCATTCTTGATAACTATCTGTCTTTTCTGTTTGAAGCTAAGTTTCCAGCAGCTGTGACCTCGTGTGGGTGTTCGCGCCATTGTTGGAGGTCTTGATTGGAAGCAGGGCAAAGTGGGAGGGGCTGACAGAACAAAAGAGTGTCAGTATGTAGTCCCCGATCTTCCCGCTGTGCAACAACACATTGTTTACAAGAACACAAACAAGACAAGCAGTCGACCTGACGTATGAATTATAAATCTGACAAACATGGCATCCTTTTCAGTGTTGTCCCACAGCTTCAGCAGAAGAGCAAAAATAGTAAGTTGAGGGTGGCTTCTGAGAGCCGGATCAAGCTTTAGCTGCATCCTCCAGAGACTTTTTACCACAGACCTCCAGCGTTGTGCAGAGCTGCTCAGAAAGGTTACATCCAGGATCAGCAAGCTGAAAAGCAACAAACATTTTCAGTCCTTTTGACTCTGTGCTCAGCTCTTCCCTCTCTGAGCACTTTCATTGGAGCTCAGCAAAAATAACTGTCAGATTTCCCTTGCTTCAAAGTCATTTAACCTTCCTCCTGTGTTAGCTTTTACTACCCACCCACTATGTTAAGGGTTGGGTTTGACCCGTGTCTTAAATCAGCTGTAAATCACACAAAAAATTATTCTCTATCATCTAATTTGGTTCTCATCTCTAGGGTACCTTGTTAGGCTTCATTATCCATGAAAATATTGTTTGTAATATTTTTGTAGTGAGCCTCTGGGCCTTTCTTTGTCAGTATGCCCATCATACAGACATCTATACTAAATTGATCTTTCATGCCTGAAGTTGTTTTTTGTGCAGGGAAAAACATGGCAAAATGAGAATTTCCTAAATCTCACATGATTGGAAGAGGAACTGACTGTCAGTGTGGTGCCTGACATTACACATATGATTTCAGTTTTTGCTCTAATCATTAGATATTAAACTAACTGGGTCAACGGCGACCCTAACACGACAAGTGCCATAATTTTAATGAGAGCGTTTTATAATTTAGTCAATTTAAGTTTTTTTTATTTTATTTCGTTGAAATAGAGGTTCCTTACAAAGTCAAAAAGTCTTGATGCAAGAAGCTAAATTTAGGTGGTTCTTTTAAGTCGGTGCAGACCCTAACACAGGAGGAGGGTTTTGTTTTGATACACTCACCATACACCTCTCCCACTTATCCCTCTCAATGCTTCACCTTCCCCCTGAGTCTTCCTGCTCACTTCTGCTTGTTCTCTTTGGATGAGTCCTTTAAACTCTGCTTCAAGTAAAACTTCGTCAGCAAAGAATCCTGAATAATGTCCCTCTGAGCAGGACACACAGGTAATGTCCCTCTGAGCAGGACACACAGATGAACCCTTCTCAAGTGAGTGTGATCTAAGTGCCTCTCTTGCCATTGGCTCCCACTCTTGCAGAGCTCGTCCATTAAATAAAAGGAGCTGAGAGCAGTTATTTCCTGTGCAGTGAAGTTTTCCCTTCGACAGGGTCAACGCAGAGGCTGACGAGTCAGTGGAATAGCTGGATTAAGGGACAAGTATAGAGAGGCAGACACTGTAATTAGTCACTGTAAGAGTTTCATGAAAACTAGCAGAGGCTGCTGAGAGTCCTCAGGGCAGAGGAAGAGACTTCCTTATCCACCAAGTTAATGTCAAGAGAGGGAGGAAACCTGCTGAGGAATCTAGACCATGTCTCCTTTTCAGTGTTTGTGCTCTTTCCTTCAGCCTCTGCCACTCATCCATCTCTCCCCTGTTTCACCCATAGAGCCAATCATACTACTAATGTCTCTCCTGGGAACAATGGATGAACGTTGTTCCATGAGTTTATGTGCTGACTAACAGTGAGTGAAAAAGACACATGGCATGCACCAGAGAGTGAATCCAGTTATTCATCAAAAAGGCAACTGGACCTGTTTGAGGTTCTTGAAGACATTTTGCCTCTCTTTAGTTCTGAAGAAGTTTATGTTTCGTGATTGCAAAATATACTAGGAATAAATTACCAATAAAATGAATTAAGTGATTACATTTGTTTTGTATTTTGAAAAAGATTGTCGGCATCCATCACTACAAATGAGAATACCTTAACTGAAGCTGTTTGAACTGTAACCCAAAAGTTATTTTTATAAAAGAAGATGACCTAAATGCCTTTTCTTCTCTTCTTGTTTTTTGGTGTATATTTCATATCTGGTTTCCAGGGCTAACAGAAAAATACAATATACATAGTTTTCTGGGAATTCTTCTAAAATGCCAACTGAACTTCCGTGGTTATCTTGAAGACTTTTCCCCTCTTCTCCAAAAGGCGTCCTCATTTCAAAGGGGACTGGGTCTAGAGCCGAAATATATAGCCTAGGGTGACATTGTCAGTGTAAGGGGGCGTGGTCATCATCTGAGGACGTGTTTGAAATCTACTTACCAGTCTAGGCTTTACATCGGGCCAAGTTTTCGTAGTTTTCAAACACATCCTCAGATGATGACCACACCCCCTTACACTGACAATGTTACCCTAGTGCACCCATGTGATCACTAATCATGGAACACTGAGTGTAGCTGATGTAGATCAGCCATAAGCAGGTTATATAGGTGGGAAGATTGCAGCAGGATGCTGCCAGAACATTATTGTTTTTTCTCCTGAAAAGAAGTCCCCTGTTGTTAACTTCAGCCCGACCTGTGATTTAGATTTAGAGGCATTTATTCTCTTAGCCTTTCAGCTTGTCATTTCCTCCCGGTGAGAGTGGTTTTGAGTTGTTCAGTGTTTGTTTTTTTTTAAGTTAAAGTTTTGAACAACCTGTGTTTATGTGCAAGTCTGTTTCTGGGTCACCATCTTACCTCCTGTCATAAATAGAAAATTCTTAAAATAAAAAAAATAAAAAATCATTTTATTTTTGATATTTTTTTTATCTTCAAAATTGAAATGTTACTATTTTGATTGAGCTGTAAAAAAAGGCTTTCCCACAGTAAAGCCTTATAAAAAAACTAACAAGATACACAACACACTTACTAGTGTGTCAGCAAGATGAAATTCAGCTGCACTTTTACCTGGTACACAGATTTCCTCCTCTGTGTCAGATGTTTCTTGTTGGTCTAAGAGAAAACAACCTATTAGTTAGATAATCACAAGATATTTAGACCATTCCAGAAAAAAAAAAAAAAGATCCTTACGATTTTTATACTCTGCTCGCGGACAGATGAAGAATGTGATTCGGCTGTATGGTTTTCTTATTTCTGTTCTATATCCTCTAAGAGTGAGTGGCTTAAAAGTCCCAGGAATGGTGACAACTCCTGTTTTGTCTGGATACATCAACACATAGGGACCCTCTTGGAAGTCAGTGTTGAAGTAAGTCATTTTCTTGACTGACAGTAAACACATCCCCAATGTCCGGCTCAACATTCAGTGGAAGAATTTTACCTCTGACCACTTTCAGGGACTCATTTTGAATGCACATGATTCCTATATTAATCTGTAGAAAAAAAAAAAAAAGAGTTTTACTGGGATACATAAATGAAAAATAAAAAAGATGTGGGTAGTAACCATAGACTGTATATAGAATGGACGCCATCTGCCTCCCCGCTAGGTAAAGCCACTCGGAGAACAGCACACCCCGGTGACGGGCTGCAGTATAGGTCATAAATCCTGCCTCCGTCAGCAAAGCTTATGGAGCTGTGGACAAACTTTAGAAATATAATTTTTGAAATATAATTTTTCACAACTATTCACTGCAGAAGTGGTTGGGTTGTAATGATAATAAAGAATCAATATCTATGTAAAATACTGTATACTTTCAGAAAACTTGGGTTTGATGAGACTGTTTTCCATTTAACAAGAAAAAAATTCTTTTGGAGAATGTGAAAGACACCATTTAAACCCCAGACACAGATTGAAGGGCTTGATAAGGGTCTGATTATGACTCAGCAATCTCAAATTCGGCGACTCTCAAGTGGTGGAGTGCGTACAACGCTACTGCGGAAGTGGAGAAAAAACGCAGAATTACCAAGAGCTTTTTCGGCTTCAAATATGTATGCTGGTGGAAGGTGGAACGCGTTTGTCCAAACTTTCGGTTTCATGAAATGTATTTTGTGTTTTGTGGAAATTTTGCACTTTTGAAATATTTATTTTACTGGCCCTCAGAGCTTATTCATTATTTTCTACAAAATGAAGAACAGACAACAGCCACAAAGTAACACACACACACACACACACACACACACACACACACACACACACACACACACACACACACACACACACACACACACACACACACAAAAACACCTATCTAATGATTTTTATATAAGTCACAGTGTAGTATTCAAACAGGCCATGCCTGGTTGGTGTCTAATGGTCAGCCATAAAGAATCAATATCTATGTAAAATACTGTGTGTACTGACTGATTAATGTTTATACCAGGATTTATTTGATATATCCAAACCATGATAATACTCTGGAAATGACCTTTTGAGAATGGCACGCGTTTGTTCTCAGAGTGCGGTACTGTGACCTTGGCGTTTTTCTCAGGCTATTACCAACAGAGTGGAGGCTGGATTTATTTAATTAACCAATTAGGCGGAGGAGAGAGTGGTGGTAAGATTTCTTCATGGACCCCCTCTCCCCACCAGCTAATCCTGGGCTGGAAAACAAGGAGATTAAATATGATTAAACAAAATCTTAGCACAGAAAAGAGCGAGGATGATGAGGGCTGCAGTCAGAAGACTCACTTTTTTTCTAAATACCCACAATCAATCGAATCTGCCAATCAGGGACAAGGACTGTAGTGACGCAAACTGCTCCCTCAGAGTGCTGCAGCCTCTGTTACACTGATCTGAACCATCTATTTATTGACAGGATACTGGGAGATGGAGCTATTTAGATGAAAACATATCTATACAAATGTAAAATAAATGTTAAACAGATCCTGTTTTAGAAAAGTGTCTCTTCTCCACACACAGTCAAAGCTGGCTGACATGAAGCCAACAACACAATAAAGTTACAGTTTTTCATGGTTCTTAGCCTTCTCTGGGTTAAACTCATATAGCAGCTGATCTCAGATATCTTCCAAGACATAGTGTTGAATGATTTTATTATTTTTGATATCTGCAACCAGGTACTTCATAACTGTCTGCATAAACTGCATCCTCTGAACCTCAGGCTGTGTAAATATAAATGTGAAATATATCCCTGCTGCTTCCACTTTACAGCTCAGAGGTGGTGGAAATAAAACCTGACTTTAATCTTATGGTAAGTGATTATATTTTCTATTTGGAGCTGAAGTTCACATCTGTTCAAATTTTAGCATCAGCAAAACTGCAGCACCAGATATGCAGTAGCTAAATGGAGGTAAGATCAGATTGGAGCTCTTATTATCCTGAGAAATGCTAACATCAGTTTGCTCCAAGAAGAGCTAAAAAACACTAATAAAATATGAGTTAGTCTATGAGCTGAAAATGAGTTAACTTGTGAGCTGAAAATGAGTAAATCTATGAGCTGAAAAGGAGTTGGTCGGTAAGCTAAAAATGAGTTAGTCTGTGAGCTCCAAAGGAGTTAGTCTATGCGCTAAAAATGAGGTAACGTGAGCTGCAAAGGAGTCAGTCTATGAGCTAAAATGAGTTAGCCTGTGAGCTGTAAAGGAGTTAATCCATGAGCTGGAAAGATGTTCGTCTATAAACCATGATGAATTAGTCTGTGAGCTAAAAATGAGTGAGTATATAAGTTTAAGTTAGGATACGCGCTAGAGCATGAGCTTATTTATGAGCATAAGGCTGAGTATAACATGAGCAAATGTAAAAGTTAGTCCATGAGCCAAGGTAAGAGTTAGTACATGAACTTAAATTCTAGAAATTGATCTTAAATATGAGTTAACAATTGATCTTAGATGTAAGTTTGTATATAAGCTAAAGAATGACTTAGAATATGAGCTCAAATTGAACTAGTATAAATGCTTAAACATGAGTAAGTATTTGAGCTTAAAATGAGTTTGTATATGATCTTAAAAATGAGTCAGTACACAAACTTAAGTGTGAGTTATATAAGTAATGAGTTAATGAATAAATACATACAAGTGTAAGTTAATATATAACTGAAGTATGAGTTAGTTTATGATCTGTTAGGTCTGTTTCTGAGCCAATTTCTGAGCTATCATTAGGGAGTTTATTATTAATGTGTAATGAACTGAAAGTGATATAGTTGCACCTCCTCGCTGGTGACGGCTCTAAAAGTCCCTGCTGGATACCCTGGGCTGTTATTACTGCCAAGTGCTTCAGTGGGTTGATGCAAGGCCTTCTGGGAACTATAGGAAGTCATGAACAGCAAAGAAGCAGCATGAAGTAAAAAGGAAGACAACATGAGAGAGAATTCATAGCTTTTAATTCCAAAATAAGAGCTGTGATGCATGATTCATGGGGAATTAGCGGTGTGATTGCTGAGTGCAAGTGGTAGAGTGTTTAACTCTTCGCTTGTAAAATCAGGCGGCAGCCCGAGAGGCTGTTTGCTCTACAATAAGCAGCTTAATTGATCAGTAGGAGTTCATTGTAATGTTGGTCATATGTTTGCATGATGTGTGGTCATAAAAACTGCATTCAGGCAGACTGTAGACTGGGGCTCATCAGGGGCCCACATCATAATACCTGCCCTGTGATCCTGCAGTGGGTCAACGCGGCCTCGGAGGGAGAGGTTTTCCTCAGATGAGTAAAAGCCAGGAACATGAACATCATGTAGTAAAAACAGGTTTAACTTTATATGAATCCTGATCCAGGTGGATCAAAGTGAATCTCTGCATCAACATGGGACAGCTGTTCACACCGTGGGGTCAGAGGTCAGAGGGCTTTACATGATCCTCATGTGTTGAGAGCATCCCTCCTCCCCTTATCTTACAACAATAACCAGGATCCTCAGCCCGACCCAAACTCCAGGAAAAACACACTCGGCCCTCTGATCTTCCGAGCGGAGGCCTGTGGGTGGTTTGATTCTGCCGGTGGCTTAGGCCTCAGAGAGTCTTGGTCCTCTGCACATCTGTCCTGAGTTAGAGAAGAGAGTCCAGCTGTTAGAGCACGGACTCTGTCAGAGTAGAGATGGTTTGATCAGTTAGGCTGGATGTGGGAAGAGTTCCTAAACTCATACCTGAGGAGGTTCAGAGCTTCTGTGTTTGTTCATGATCTGAACACTTTCTCACAGTTCGTCTCTGCTGTTTTAGCAAGTTACCCTCCAGCCACTGTGGAATCATAACCTAGAAAAATACGAGCTTTCCGCAGGAAGAAATGGGATGATTAGATAACCGGGATGGGATATGATGTAATGTTCTCACTGTTTGAAAGTCATCGTCTCCAACATGTGACGTGTTCTCACATGTTCTTTAGACTGACAGCAGAGTTACTGAGCTCCAAACAAGGAGCACATGTTCATCATCTCTGCACAACAATCCTCCAAATGTTGACAACTCTTCCTGCTCCAGTATTCACCACGGCGGCAGCGGCAGATAGAGGAATGCAGCACAGAATGAGTTTTGTGTTCCGGCTGCTCTGCGGTGTCATTGTTTGGGTTCAGGGCAGCTCCTGTCAGAGAGATTCAGAGGACGCAGTGACCACAGGGAGTTCTGGCGTTCCTAAAATAATCCTAATTACAGGCTGCAGACAGATTCTGATGGGAAATGGACAATTTTTCTCCATAAGGCCACAAATGTGCAGTTAGGACAGCCGAGCCAAGTTTAGCACATTCTTTTTGTATGAACGCGCTTCAGACTGAGCAGGAACAATACTAGACTCTGGCCTCTTCTCAGACAGTGAGCAGGGAAGTGATGTTCAGAAAAATCCATCTGGAAATGGTTTCTCTCCTGTTTTTCACCATGCTTTGACACTGCAATACATGTCCTCATAAAGAAAAAAAAGTCCAACCATATTGATTGTTTATTTTTTGTTTATCGTATGAGCAGAGAATCAGGACGATCACAAAGAGAGCAAAGTTTGCCAAGAGGTGCTGCAGCCCTGGATGGTGATCTATCTATCTGCATGATCCAACCATGCCAAGCATAAATAGCAGCCCTATAAATACACAGAGTACACATAATAAACTAAATACACCTCATCTAATGTTTAACTGTTTACACCAAATACTCTAAACAAATAAATACACCATATACCTCGAAAACATGAATTCAACACAATACACCAAGTAATAAATACACCAAATACACATAATACACAGAATACACCCAATATAATGAAATATTGCATATTCATGAAATGCTCTTAACAAATACATCAAATACACTGAATATACTGAATACCATATACTGAATACATCAGAAACAATGAATACACACAATACACAGAATACACAAAAGACACAGAATACACCAAATACATTGAACTCACAGAATACACATCAATACAAACACACAGAATACACCAAAGACAATAAACTCACAGAATACTCATAGATACAAATACACTGAATACACCGATTACATTGTTCGCACCACTGAACACACAGAATATAACCAATTCACTGAATTTACCAAAGTCACAGAGTACACCAAATACATTAAACAAAAAATACACAAGACACAACAAATACTCTGAACAACAAATATACCAAGTACAAGTACACAGTAAACACTGGACACACTGAGTACACCATGTTCTTTGAGTACACTGATACACACCTAGTACACTTAGAACACTTTATAGTCAGTCTGTATAAAGTTGGGAGTAACCTAAAGTTTTTGTTCACAATGCTTTTTTTAAAACCCAGCACGAGTTTTATGTATTTTGGGATGTCTTTACTCCATGATCAGATGTTGCTTTCATGGAAATGCACCATTTTACTTAATTTACCTTTGGATATACATTAATGTGAACACACCATTGTTAAATATATGTCAGCAAAAGATAATAAGGGCTTAGTTTTAGGGTTGAAAACATTTGCAAGAGTCACAACTTCAAACGCAAAAAAACAAATCACAGTTGGATTATTCACTTAAACTTTTTGGCTTTGAGAGTCTGCATACAAAAATCCTAATAAATCTCAACTGCATTCAAACTACCCCAAGAATGGCTAGAAAGAAGCAACTGAGTAAAGAAACAAAAGTTCAGATTTGTACATTGAGGAAAGAAGGATACACAGAAAGAGAAATTGCAAAACGCCTAAAGGTGTTTAACAAAGGAGTCCACTACACTCTGAAGAGACTAGAGTAACCTGGAAGTTATGATGATAGAAAAAGGCCTGGACGAAAGAGAGTTACTACAAAAACAGAGGATAAACATAGCATTGTCACCAGTAAGAGAGATTGGCAAAAGACAGCACCAAAAATAAGGGAGGAAATCAACATGACAAGGTTGAAACCCAGATCTCTGACAACTGTGAAATGACGTTTGAGAAAGGCTAGTCTGAAGGATTGTGTATCTGCAAAAAAACACTACTTCGTCCACAGAACAAGAAAAAGAGATATGAGTGGGCAAAAGCTCACAAAAATTGGACTTATGATGACTAGAAACAAGTTTGCACTATTTGGTTCAAAACGCAGAGTGTATGTCCTCAGACAAACTGGTGAACGTCTGACAGTACCATGTGTTACACCCACAATTCAGCATGAGGTGGTAGTTCCATGGTATGGGGATGTTTTGCAGGTGACAGAGTAGGAGATTTGTTTGAAGTAAAGGGTATCATGAAGAAGGAACAGTACCACTCCATCCTTCAGCACCATGCTGTTCCATCTGGACTCAGACTTGTGGCTCATAAGTTTGTTTTGCAGCAAGACAATGACCCTAAGCTCTCTGCCAAGCTCTGTCAGGGTTACCTAGGCAAGATGGTTTGGCCCCCTCAGTCTCCAGACCTTTCTCCAATTGAGCTTGTGCGGGATGAATTGGATCGATCGGTCAGAAAAACGTGTCCCATGAATCAGCAGTCTGTTTTTAATGAACTTAAGAAAGCTTGGAATGCAATCCCTGGAACATACTTTAAAAAACTTGTGGAACAAATGCCTGGTATATGCCAAGCTGTTGGTAAAGCCAGAGGAGGTTACTTTGAAGAAAGCAAAGTCTAAGGAACAATAACTCAACTACCTAATAATTATAGTCAAAATGTCTTCTGATAAGTTACTCTTTACACAATAGTCATGTTTATTGTGTTGCAAATTATATATATGAAACTATGATCTTTTTTTGTACAAATCTGATCTTGCTTCCAAACTTTTGGCCTGTAGTGTATGTCCACCCAAACTTCAAACTTCTGCCATAAACCTGTGTCAGTCTGACAGACATGAATAACAACAGATGCAGAGGATCCTGAATGATCCTCCTGGCTCTCTGGATGCAAATCATCTTGTCCTTGATTTGTAGCTTAACCTTCATGCAGTAGACAGAGTAGCTCAATGTAAAGAGTTGTCCTGATTCAGCTCTTTAATTTGCTGCTCTGTCAGAAATACAGCAGCCTCCTTCTGTAACGTTTACACTCTAGATTCATGCATTCCTGTCAGAGTTTCCTCTCGGATTGATCCACTCTCTGATGGAGGAGGGGGCGATAGCCTCACCCACACAGTGGGGATATTAGCTCGGATTCGGGGGTTTTTGTGCAGCCCTGCTCTCCAAGCTCACAAACACTTAAAACCACTGCTGGCAAAGTAAGCGGTGACGTCAGCTTCTCTGCAGCACATTTCAGAGCCGAACATGTGAGCCACACATGCAGGGCTCGATTAGAAACAGACTAAAGCAACTCAGAGCTCTCTATGAACGCTAAGCAGCAGGAGGGTTGACCTCCTGAGTCACTGAGTGAGTGCTGGTCAGGTTACAGGCCACACTCAATAATACGCCTCCTCCAAACTACTGTAACACAGCAGTTGGAGTTTCTGATTTCACTTCCAACTTCCTCTCAGTCGTAAGTCCAGAGGATCTGTGGTGAAAAGAACAATCTTGCCCAAAAGATGGAAAGAAGCTCACTGGGTGGACATGAATAATAATAATAATACATTTTATTTAAAATCGCCTTTCTGAACACCCAAGGACACTGTACAGGGCATAAAAACACAGTTAAAAACATAATTAAAATAAATAAAAACAACATACAAGTGTGAAAGTGGACAGTTAAAGTGAATATGCGATTTGGAATAGGTGTGTTTTGAGTTTGGATTTAAAGTGGGGTAGTGAGTCCATGTTTCTGAGGTCCGGGGGGAGAGAGTTCCAGAGTTTGGGAGCAGAGCGACTGTCCTGACCAGAATCAACACATACACAGCTTCCTCTCATCCTTGTAAAGCCATGCTGGTCCTTCTGCTGTCTCTTTACAAGCACATCCAAAAATAACTTTTAATATTTGCAGTAAAAATTGTACAAAAGTGTTTCCACATCGTACAGATGCTCTCATGACTGTTACAGACATTAAAAATTACTGAATAGAAAATGTCCAAATATGTCTTATTTGCTTTTATTTATAATAGAAAATGTCTCAGCTCATTTTTATAACCCACAAACTCTCTTTAAAGATCACTGTTTGGTTACTTAAACATGAAAGACCTCATGATAGAAAACAAAGTGATGGACAGATTCAGGAATTATTGTGAAAATGTTTTTTCTATCGGTTGACCCAAAAATTACTATATCATGAAAAAGTTAGATATTTCCTCATTTAGACTGTGTAAATATAATCTTGAAACAACTGAGCGTTCCTATGTGCCACATACACAGCATACCCACTTGTGGCGCCCCTGTTGTTGATCATTGGGGGCCCCCAGGTGGCCACGGGGCTCTTTAATTCGCCGTTTAATTTGCTTATGCCTTATGCCGGCACTGAGTCCAAGTAACTTTTATTATCTCAGTGTTTCCAGCAGGTCATTTTACCCAAAATGCCTCGTGTGTACTTCTCACAGTCAGAAAGTAGTGTCTGATGGTCCGATCAAAAGGTCCCCAGAAGAAGATTTTGTACTTTGTACTGAAAGCTCAACCTTCCTGCTATACACCTTTTAAAGTAACAGACACCTTCATATTTATGCTCCACCAGCTCAGAGTTTCATGAACTGTTCACCGCTCCCTTGGTTTTCACCTGTACCTGGATGTGTCCTGCTGATCCTGCAGGTGCTGCATTAGCTCTGATGAGTTGGACCTATATCTGTGACTTTTCACAGGCACTGATTCATCGTCCTGAATGACTCCTTGGTGATTCTAGGTGTCACTGAAAAGTTTCCACCCTGCCTCCTTCACTGGTTTCTTCAGTGCATATAAAACTTAACTGCTGAAGCAAAGCTCAGGTAGCTCGGCCTCCATGTCAATAAGCTGCTGCTCCTTGGGTCTCACTTTGTTCTTGGTCTGTGCAAGCTGCAGCCGAGCCAGTACCTGTAAAAACTGTTCTCCTGTACCACAGCTCTTTAGACTTTAGACTTCCACAAACTTACTCATTTATTTCAGAACACAATGCAAATAAACCCAACAAAGTGATTTATAGCTAATGCCTCCAAGAGTACATGAGTTATGTGACTAATGATGTTTGTAGGAGACGTGCTGATGTTTCATTGTGACTCTGTGTCAGAATTTTACTGTCTGTTCAGCCTACAGTCCACATTAAATGTGAAGGTGTGCTGATGAAGGTTGGACCAGAAACATTTCAGCTTTATAAGGATCTCAGAGTTTGATCAGTGTTTAGAGCTGAGGAACACACACACACACACACACACACACACGCGCGCGCGCGCGCGCAGCAGATCCGAAATCCGAAAGAATGTGTGCAGGTTTAACCATAAAACTATCAACATGGATGGATGAATGGATGGATGGATGGTATTTCTCTAACAGTGACCTTATATCAGTCTGTCGGTGACTGTGAGCATCCAGCTGCCTCCTCTCTCCCCCTGGAGAGCAGAGCCGTCTCCTCCTCCCCCCTCCCTCCCCCTCCTCACGCTCTGCTGTGCTGTATTCGGGCTTCTCAGTCCGTCCTCAGCAGCGGCGGGGATGAGTGCAGGGGACTTGGCGGAAACGCAGCGACGCATTTTTCAGGTAAGAGCGGCTCGTGGCGCGGACACTGACCATGTCTGACCCAGTTTCTAGCAGGTCTAAGTCGTTTGTTCTCAGGGACTTGTGTGTTCGACAGAGGAGGTGGACAGCCACTCTGGGAGCAGTGGGCTGAGGTGGAGAGTCCGTCTGCTCTGCCTTCCACATCTCCAGCGTCTCTCCACTCGCAGCCAAGCCGAGCCAGCTGCCTCCCGCCCGGCTGTCCCTGCCTCCTCCGCCGGGATTAGAGGACTGGGGGCAGGTCTGTGGCTCTTCCAGGACGCAGTTTTATAGGTCAAAGGGTGCTAGGAAGACTGAGCTCTGGGTTTTTAGGTTAAAGGGTTTTCGGTGGAGCCTGCCTCTGTGTGCGGACGCGCTCATCTCATCTGAAGGTTAAAGATTGGAGCTAACCAGGCTAGCGTTAGCTCCTCTGTATGGAGCTGAGTGTGTATGTGAATGTGTGGAAGAGGCCAATGTCCCACAAAATACGCAGCTTCATACGTTGAACATCAGGAGTCCATCTGGGTGTGAATGGATTGAGGTGGGGGGCTGCAGAGGGGGCCCCTGGTGCTGTCCGGGTTAAGATGAACCTCACTGAAAACACATTTAACTCTTGTTCTATCAGAACTTATGGAAATGCTCCCCCTTTAATACCCCATATCTACAAAGTAGCTGACTGCGATAGTTGGCGTGATGGAGTTATAAGAGAAAGCACTAAATGACAGTCTGCACAGCAGGTCATTCATGAGCCGAATTACAGCACAGACCTCCCTGATCCGCGCACTCTGAAATCCTGTTCAAATAAGCGTCAACCTGACTCTTGGCGCAGGTAAACCTGAGAAGGACAGATGTTGCAGGGACTCTGGCCTCTGTCACTGAGCTGTGCGTGTTTGGGGGCCGGTCTTGATGTAACCTGCGTGGAGAAGATGGAACCAGCGGGGGCTGCTTCATGCCAGGCTGTCAATCATTTCTTAAGGACGCGGTTTGCGGGTCCGGTAACCGTGCCGCTCCAGGTCCAGCTCGGTGTTCAGTAACACCAAATGGAAATGGGCTACAAACGGTTCCTGGCAAACGGTCTGATGCCAATAAGCGCTCGCTTTGATGTTTGCATGTTGTCACTTTGTCACACCTGCTGTTTGCATGATGATGGCTGCTGCCTGACCTCTCCTCCTCCTCCTCCGTGCAGCCTCCTCCTGCACGCACGGCCACACTATGTTGCATGACTACAAACAGCCATGCTGCTGCTAGTGTGCAGAAAAAAGGTAAATATGCCTCCGATTCAGGTCGGAATAATGAACACTGAATTTAAGAGGTTTTTACAGCAGAGTAATTTTTAATAGGCTGTGAATCTGGATGGATGAGACGCTGCTGCTGCTGCTCTGCACTTCGCCTGCACCTCTAATTATGTCACAGTGCTGCTTAATGGCTTTAATTTTAGACGGTCTGGCACATAAAACTCTTACTGTCACTTAGAGGCCTCCAGAGGCTGGACTGTCAGAGCCAAGACTTCACCTGAGCCTTCAGGATCAGGATCAGGATCCTGTTTTTCTTTTTCCATATAAATACTGGAGAGGAGAGGGCACTCAGGATCTAAAAACATAATTGTGCAGATCTTTTTCATGGTATACCTCCAGCTCGGCTCCACTCGCCCCTCTTTGAGCTGTGTTATGGCTACAGGCGGGATTTCAAGTCCAGCTCACTGTGGATTTTTGACACTTAATAACTGTAGAGGAGACATTCATGGAGGAGATTGTAACTGAATGGAAAGGGACCTTTTAGAGGTTAATTCAGGGGTGGGCGATCATGTGCCATGGAGGGCCGAGAGGCTGCAGGTTTTCTGTCCAACCCAAAACTCCACCAGGTGATTTCACTGATTAGTCCCTGCTCTCTGCTTTAAGGTAAGGTAATCAGTGAAATCACCTGGAGCAGTTTTGGGTTCGAAAGAAAACCTGTAGCCTCTCGGCCCTCCATGGCACATGATTGCCTGCCCCTGGGTTAATTGGACATGTATTTACGTTATTCTTACCTTATAAGAATACCTACGGGCTATTTAAAAAAAAAATAAAACTGGATACAGAGAAATACTGACATAGTCTGTCATTTCTGCTCTGCTCCATGTGCAGCAGACAGTCTGAGTGTATTCTAAGCTACAGAGCTGAAGGACGTTCTGAGAGACAATCTGACTTACAATACTGGCTCTAAGTCACCCCAATCACTGAGTCTATTCCCATGGATTCATGCAGGCTGTGATGGTTATTTTTTTACAACAAACCGCTGTGATTTATAGATCAGAGAGAATAAGCCCTCTGACCTGAGCGTCAACTGTCAGCCTGTCTCTGAAACAGACATAAACCTAAACCTCAGGAAACCCCTTGGTGTCCACTGCTCTGACTTTGTGCTGGTGTGAAGTTTAGCACTTAAACATGAGACATGTGGCACTTCTCTGTGAGGGTAAGGGTCAGAGAGGCCTGTGTTTGTCATTTAAAATATCTGTGTGTTTTTTTTACTCTGAAATGTCTATAAAGCTTGGTTATAAAATGAATAATCACATTGGCGTTTTATTCTTTTTGAGGTTGATAAAAATGTGACAGACTTGTAATAAATTAGCTGTCTCAGAGTCTTTGCAGACTTCAGTTCAGTCGTATTTAATCAAACCTCTTCAGGACAGACTGGGTGATCTCAGCAGATATTGTCAGTGCTATCTACAGTGCTGAAGTTGTGAATTACTTTGCTGGTATTTATGGAGGTACCACTGCCCAGCAGTGAGCTAATCCTCCTTGCAAAGACCTTTCACAGATCACTGAGCCTGCACCAGGAGCTGTCAGTAAATGTCAGTACAGACGCATTTTCTGGACTGTGTGCGATGGATTCAGAGATAACAGCTGATGAGTTAAAAAGACCAAGAAATGCTAAAATCAGCATTGATCAGCGTCTTTTTCTGAGTATTTTAACAGGAAGGGGTGAGACAGATCTCTGCTGTGTGTGCGTAGGAGTGTTTTTGAGGTGGGTCTTTCACACGTCCCTGAGATGGGGATGGTGTGCTAACAGAGTCCATGCAGATGTCCTGAGGGGCTGGGCTGTGCTGGGACAGCCAGCATATTAAGAGGGAAGGAAAGCAGCTCATTAATTCCTTCCAGCAGCAAAGGAAAGGGCTGGTCAGCGAATCTCGAAGAGGCCCTCCACGGCTCCTAAATGAGTCATAGCAGTGCAAATTTCAGCAGCAGTCCATGCAGCGCTAAGTCTAGGCTGGAAAACTTCCTGATGGTGCAGGCAGTCCGGTTCTCCCAGGGCCAGACTCTCCCTTTGCAGTGATAGCACAGTGTGTGTGTGTGATCCTGTTGGTTTAGCAGGTTGGACAGATTATCTCTCCGTTCACTTTGTCTCTCCTCAGTTTGTTTTCTAGGCCAAGTGCATCAAGAAAATTAGTTTTCCTGCCGTGGGGTAGCCGTGGCTGCAGCCTGTGAAAGTCATCTGATGTCTGCCCGGTTACAGGGATCCCCTCAGAGGTCCTGCCTGATGTCACATGTGATGTCAGAGCAGAGGTGACGCAGGCGGGCGGATGGAGCTCCAGAAATGTGTGAAGGCTACAGACATCTGCCAGCAAGCCTTTTAGAGCCAGAGAGCAGGACAGCCAATCAGAGGGCTGAAACAAAGCACACGCTAAGCCAACGTGTTATGACAGAGCGGGTGGATGTTCATGTGTTTGGCAGATGGTCCAGCTGCCTGCTCTGTTATTTCTGTGTTACTGATTCAGTGCGGAGACTGAGCTCTTCATAAAACCTGGACTGCTCGTTTCATACATTAGACTGTGTATAATACAGTAAAAAACACCATACTTCAAACCGTATATAACATTGTACATCAAACCCCATATAACACTGTAAAAAACACTGTGCAACAGGCAGCATAAAACACAGTATATCGGACCATATTAAACACCGTACATCAGTCTGTATATCAGACCTTATATAAGACCGTGCATCAGATCGTACATCAGACCGTATAACACTGAAAATAACATTGGCCGTCAGACCGTATATCAAACTATATAAAACACTGTACTATAGTCTGTATATCAGACCATATATAAGACCATACATCAATTTATATATCAAACTGTAAAAACACTGTACATCATACCGTATATAACACTGCTAATAACACTGTACAACAGGCAGTATAAAACACTGTATGTCAGACCATATTAAATACTGTTCGTACATCAGTCTGTATATCAGACCATATATAAGACCATTCATTAGACCATACATTAGACAGTTTATAAAACCGTATATAATACTGTACATCTGACATCATATAAGACTGACATAAGACTCAGTATGAGACTGTAAATAAGATTGTTTATCTGACAGTACATTAGAATATTTATCAGACCATATAATAGTCTGTATATAGAATAGAATAGAATATTCCTTTATTGATCCCCCATGGGGGAAATTTTTTTGTCACAGCAGCATCACAGACAAAGAGTGCAAAAATGCAGTTATAAAAATAAAGATCCTAATATTAATAACTTAAATAAATGTAATAATTAAGAAAAAATGTAGAAAAAGGAAAAAGGGAGAAGAAAAATAAAACTATCTACAATATACACAATTTACACATACACAAAAAGTGTTGGTGTGTGTCCAGTTATTATTACAGTTCATTGTAAAGTCTTATTGCAGAAGGGAGGAATGACCTGCGGTAGCGTTCTGTCTTGCAAAGTGGAAGTCTCAGTCTGCTGCTGAAGGAGCTGCTTAAAGCCCCCACAGTCTGGTGTAGTGGGTGAGAGGGATTGTCCATGATGGATACAAGCTTTGCTAACATCCTCCTCTCACCCACCTCCTCCAGGGAGTCCAAAGAACAGTCCAGGACAGAACTGTCCCTCCTGACCAGTCAATTCAGTCTCTTCCTGTCCCTCTCGGTGCTCCCCGCTCCCCAGCAGACCACTGCATAGAAAAGTGCAGATGCTACCACAGAGTCATAGAAAGTCCTGAGCAGAGTCCTGCATACTCCAAAGGACCTCAGTCTCCTCAGCAGGTGGAGACGACTTTGGCCCTTCTTGTACAAGATGTCTGTGTTGGTTGACCAGTCCAGTTTATTGTTGAGGTGGACACCCAGGAATCTGTAGGACTCCACCATCTTGATGTCCAGACCCTGGATGTTCACTGGAACAGTCTGAGGTGTCCTCCTCCTGCGGAAATCCACGACCATCTCCTTTGTCTTACTGGCGTTGAGCTGGAGGTGGTTTGTGCCACACCAGTTGACAAAGTCAGTGATGACAGTCCTGTATTCCCGCTCATCCCCTGACGATACACATCCGACCATGGCTGTGTCATCAGAGAACTTCTGGAGGTGACAGCTCCCAGAGTTGTAGCTGAAGTCCGAGGTGTACAGGGTGAAGAGGAAGGGGGAGCGCACTGTCCCCTGTGGAGCCCCCGTGCTGCAGACCACCATGTCCGATACACAGTTCTGGAGCCTCACAAACTGTGGTCTGTCGGTGAGGCACGGTCCATGCAGCTAGGTGACAGTCCACTCCCGCCCTCTCGAGCTTCCCCCTGAGCAGTGAAGGCTGGATGGTGTTGAAAGCACTGGAGAAGTCAAAAAACATGACCCTCACAGTGCTGCCAGTGCTCTCCAAGTGGGCCATGGACCTCTGCAGCAGGTAGATGACTGCGTCGTCCACCCCGATGTTTGGCTGGTACGCAAACTGCAGAGGATCCAGATGAGAGCTCACCAGGGGGCGGAGGTTCCTCAGCACGATCCTCTCCAGAGTCTTCATCAGGTGAGAAGTGAGGGCCACAGGTCTGAAGTGGTTGGGCTCCCTGGGGTGTGCTGTCTTGGGGACAGGAATCATGCAGGAAGTCTTCCACAGTGCTGGGACCCTCTCCAGACTCAGGCTCAAGCTGAAGATGTGCAGTAGCACCTCACAGAGCTGGTCTGCACAGTCCTTCAGGAGTCTGGAGCTGATGCCGTCAGGACCCGTGGCATTCCTTGGCTTCATCTTCCTCAGCTCACTTCTCACCTGGTCAGCTGTTATGGAGAGGCTGGGGGTGGTGCTGGAGGGGGTGGTGGAGGATGAGTGGAGGGGGGTTGATGACGCCAGTGCCATGGGACTGAGGTGGTGTGAAGAAGAAGCAGCAGACGGGCCATTGGTTTGATGAGTCAGGGGAGGAGTGGGAGCAGAGTCAAATCTATCGAAGAACAGATTCAGCTCGTTGGCCCACTCCCTGTCTCCTGCTTCAGGTCCCCTCTCATGGCCCCTTCTATGACCTGAGATGGATTTCAGGCCTCTCCAGACCTCCCTCGCGTTGTTCTATTGCAGAAGGTTTTCCATCTTGGTCTTGTAGCTGGCCTTTCCCTCTCTGATCTTCTTCTTCAGCTCCTTCTGCACCCTCCTCAGCTCCTCCTTGTCCCCAGATTTAAAGACCCTCCTCTTCTCCTTCAGGAGGACTTTAAGTTCCGGGGTCACCCAGGGTTTGCTGTTGGAGAAACACTGTACTTTCCTGGTGGGTACGGTGTTCTCAACACAGAAGTTTATATAGTCCGTGATACAGTCTGTCATGGTGTCGATGTCATCACCATGTGGGCCGCACAGTACATCCCAGTCTGTGGTCTCAAAACATAAAATATAATGCTTATAGACTGTATACGACGAAAAACTTCAATCATTATATGGGTTTAAAGTAGGGCTGCACCTAATGATTATTTTTTTATCGACTAATCTAACGATTATTTTTCAATTAGCCGACTAATTTATCGACTAATTTGTCGATTATTCAAACGATTATTTTTTATTAACCGATTAGTATTACAATAAATTTCCCCAAAATAACAATTAAAAACTTGTCCTTTTAGCACTTAATTCAATGATTTATTTAAGAATCTCTTGAAATCAAACCAAACAAAACATTTGGGTAATAAAATCTGGGAGATTTTTGAGGCGCCGCACGGGGCAGTTTTGGGGTTACCTTGTATGGTGAATATGAGCTAACTATGAAAGTATTTGTAATTCAATTACTCATCCAAATAATATAAGTGAAGCTGCACACTTTTTTTGTTTTGTTTTAATTCGTTCTGAAATACACTTATGGTGCAACTTAAGACACATCATCAGTGTTGGCACCTGGGTTCACTGGGTGTTTCGGGTCTTGCAACAGACACCCTCGCCCAGGGGACCCAGCCGGGGTGATCAAGTCCCGGCTTGTGTCTTAAGAGCATGTGTCCACGGATCACCCCGCTTGATCCACAGCCATCTGGACGCCTTCTCTGCTGCGTCACAGATGTTCTTAATGGCTCGCCTGTTGTGCAGTCCCCCCATTCCCAGCATCTTGAGAGCCCTGATGAGGGACTGGCCAGCGAATCCTCTGCATCCGACCTCGATGGGGTTGCACCGGGTCCTCCATCCCCTGCTTCGGCATTCACTTGCCAGCTCCTCATACTTGGCTTTCTTTCTCTCAAAGGCCTCCTCCATCCTGTCTTCCCAGGGAACAGTCAACTCCAGCAGGACCACTTGCCTTGTTGTTTCAGACACCAGGACCATGTCTGGCCTGAGCGTGGTCACTGCGATGTTCTCCGGGAATTTGAGCTGTCTCCCTAGGTCGACTTTCAGCTGCCAGTCACGGGCTGTTGCCAGCAGCCCCCCTGCTTGCCTCCTGAGCTGCTGCGGCTTCTCCCCAGCCTTAACGAAGGCGATGGTCTGCCTTGATGGTTGTGTGTGTTTGCTGGTGGAGATGCCTGTGTTGATGGCCTCCGCAATGACCCGTAGCACTTGGTCATGGCGCCAGCGGTAGCGCCCCTCTCCCAGTGCTCTTGGGCAGCAGCTCAAGATGTGTTCCAGTGATCCTGCTCTTTGGCAGAGAGGGCACAGTGGGTTCTCTGCCAAGCCCCAGCGGTGGAGGTTGGATGGGCTTGGGAGGACGTCGTAGACCGACTGAATGAGGAACTTGATCCGGTGAGGCTCAGAGCGCCATAGCTCTGACCACGAGACCTTCCGGGCAGCTGCCTCCTCCCAACGGGTCCACGCCCCCTGCTGCCGCATCCCCACTGTCTTGCTGCAGCGGGCTTCCTCCACCCCTGCTCGGACCTCCTCCTGGATCAGCTGACGCCTTTCCTTCCCCTTGGCCTTGTTATATGAAGGTCTCGGGTTGCTCCCAAGTCCTGCCCGTCCGGATGCCACCGTTCCCACCAGCTCACTGTGCCGCAAGCGGGACTCAGCCTGATCGACTGCCTCTTGAGCACACCACTTCCTGCCGGTCCTCACTTCTACACCTGCCAAGGAGACTTTGATGTCACTTGAGTCCCTATACAGCAGCACCTCTCTTGCACGGGTAACCATAAACTCCTCCGTCAGACTGCTGAAGGGTAGGTTAAGTTTGTTGCTCTTCCCGTACAATGCGATGCTGCTGAGGCTTTGTGGTAGGCCCAGCCACTTCCGCAAGAAAGAGCTGACCTTCCTCTCGAAGCACTCGACGGTGGTCACAGGCACATTATAAACCAGCAGTGGCCAGAGAAGTCGAGGTAGGATGCCATGTTGGTAAATCCAGGCTTTGAACTTGCCTGGTAGCCCCGACTTATCCACTGCCGTCAGCCAGGTTCCCAACTCCTCTGATGTTGCTTGGAGTGCTGTGGTGTCCTTCAAGGTGCAGTCGTAGATCTTGCCCAGGCTCTTAACTGGCTTTTCACCCACAGATGGAATCAGGGTATCTCCTATTGAGAAGCGAAACTTCTCTGCGACCTTCCCCTTTCTCACCACCAGGGACCTGGATTTGGCTGGCTTGAAGTTCATCCGGGCCCAGCTGACGAGATGTTCCAGGCCTTGGAGGATCCATCTACAGCCCGGGACAGATGTTGTAGTCACCGTCAGATCATCCATAAATGCTCTGATGGGGGGCTGTCGCGTACCTGAGTTGGTGAGTGGTCCTCTGCACTCCACCTCTGCTGACTTCACCAGCATATTCATGGCCAAGGAAAACAGTACCACAGAAATGGTGCATCCTGTGATAATGCCCTTCTCAAGCCGATGGAATGCAGATGTTACTGTTCTGGAAGTGACTCTCAAACTGAAGCAGCTGTAGTAGTCCAGTATGAGGTCCTTGATCTTGCCTGGAACATGGTGTCGGTCGAGCGAGATTTCCACCAGCTTGTGTGGCATGGACCCGTAGGCGTTGGCAAGGTCGAGCCAAAGGACTGCCAGATCTCCTCTGCCTTCTCTTGCTTCCCGGATCAGCTGGGTGACAACTCCTGTATGCTCGATGCATCCTGGGACCTTTGGGACTCCTCCCTTCTGCACAGAGGTGTCGATGTAAGTGTTCCTCAGGAGGAACTCCATCAAGCGCCGGGCAACGATGCTTAAGAAAATCTTGCCCTCGACGCTGAGGAGTGAGATGATCCTGAATTGCTCGATGGTGGTTGAGCTCTCCTCCTTTGGAATCCAGACGCCCTCTGCATGTCTCCACTGCTGGGCCACCTTCCCCCTTCTCCAGATGACCCGGAGGATTGACCATAGTCGCTTCAAGAGTCTGGGGCATCTCTTGTAGACCACATATGGCACTCCACTGGGGCCTGGTGCTGACTTGGACCTAGCTGCCTTGACAACCTCCTCAACTTCTCTCAAAGTTGGCTCCTTGGTGTTAAATGCCGAGGTGGGTTCTGGCGGAGTTATCAGGGTTCTGCATGGCCCAAGATCTTCTTCTCTTGCACTATCGCTGTAGGTGGTATTGAGGTACTTGTTAACCTCGTCTTCAGTGCAGGCAAGGTGGCCACTTCTTTTCTGCCCGAGGATTTTCTTGGTGAAGCCAAAGGGATTTGAGATGAAGGCTGCACGTCTCCTGGCCCTCTCTCTACCCCTTCTCCTATGCCACTCTGCTCGACGGAGGATGATGAGCCTTTTCCTTATTGTGCTGCGGAGCTCTGCCAGCCCGGCCTTCTCTTCCTCCCTTGCCACCTTAAACTGTCGTCCAAGCAGTTTAAGTTCCTGCCGCAGCTGGCTGATCTTTACCTCCCGTCTGTTTGGCTCCCCTGGGCATCTGGTTGGCTCCCCTGGGTGTCTGGTTGGCTGTTGTTCCTTTATGCCGAACCTTTCAGCACCGATGTTGATGATCATCGCCGACATTGACAGCAATCTCTGGTCTGCATCTCCCCTTGCAGTAGCGTCAAGGACTCGGTCCACGTCTTCATCAAATTGGAGCCACTCTCTTTCTTTGTTGGCTGCAGGCCACACGACCCGTCGATGTTCTGAATGCTTGAAACGAGGTAGGACTTGTGGGGCGTGGAGGGTCTGGGCACTGTGGGTTGACTCCTGGCCGGGCACCTCCTGCGTCTCACCAGGTTCTGGACCTGTGCGTTGCACCACCTGCTTCCCCGTCAAGCATCTCATTTTGGTCTGGTGGATCTTCAGACCACGCGGGTTCTTGCAGACCTTGCCGCATGGACAGACTGCGCTCGTAGTCATTTTTCCGTTCCGCTTCGTTGCCTGTTTGTCAGTCCTGTTGGGGTGCTCATCCTCCCCCCCTCTCGGGCACCCCTGGGGGTATATTTCGTCAGGGCTTTTCGTAGCGTGCTTGTGGGTGCTCCCTCACAGGAGCTGCAGTTTTGGTTGCTGGCCCTCCCTGCCCCGGTTACTGTCTTTCCAGTTGTCAGCTGACTCTCCAGCAGTCACCATACTGTTCATGGTCGTCATCCGGCCTATTCCCGGAGGTCACTGGCATGGCCAGATCAACTAGTTCTGAAATACACTTATGGTGCAACTTAAGACACATCATCAGTGTTGGCACCTGGGTTCACTGGGTGTTTCGGGTCTTGCAACAGACACCCTCGCCCAGGGGACCCAGCCGGGGTGATCAAGTCCCGGCTTGTGTCTTAAGAGCATGTGTCCACGGATCACCCCGCTTGATCCACAGCCATCTGGACGCCTTCTCTGCTGCGTCACAGATGTTCTTAATGGCTCGCCTGTTGTGCAGTCCCCCCATTCCCAGCATCTTGAGAGCCCTGATGAGGGACTGGCCAGCGAATCCTCTGCATCCGACCTCGATGGGGTTGCACCGGGTCCTCCATCCCCTGCTTCGGCATTCACTTGCCAGCTCCTCATACTTGGCTTTCTTTCTCTCAAAGGCCTCCTCCATCCTGTCTTCCCAGGGAACAGTCAACTCCAGCAGGACCACTTGCCTTGTTGTTTCAGACACCAGGACCATGTCTGGCCTGAGCGTGGTCACTGCGATGTTCTCCGGGAATTTGAGCTGTCTCCCTAGGTCGACTTTCAGCTGCCAGTCACGGGCTGTTGCCAGCAGCCCCCCTGCTTGCCTCCTGAGCTGCTGCGGCTTCTCCCCAGCCTTAACGAAGGCGATGGTCTGCCTTGATGGTTGTGTGTGTTTGCTGGTGGAGATGCCTGTGTTGATGGCCTCCGCAATGACCCGTAGCACTTGGTCATGGCGCCAGCGGTAGCGCCCTCTCCCAGTGCTCTTGGGCAGCAGCTCAAGATGTGTTCCAGTGATCCTGCTCTTTGGCAGAGAGGGCACAGTGGGTTCTCAGCCAAGCCCCAGCGGTGGAGGTTGGATGGGCTTGGGAGGACGTCGTAGACCGACTGAATGAGGAACTTGATCCGGTGAGGCTCAGAGCGCCATAGCTCTGACCACGAGACCTTCCGGGCAGCTGCCTCCTCCCAACGGGTCCACGCCCCCTGCTGCCGCATCCCCACTGTCTTGCTGCAGCGGGCTTCCTCCACCCCTGCTCGGACCTCCTCCTGGATCAGCTGACGCCTTTCCTTCCCCTTGGCCTTGTTATATGAAGGTCTCGGGTTGCTCCCAAGTCCTGCCCGTCCGGATGCCACCGTTCCCACCAGCTCACTGTGCCGCAAGCGGGACTCAGCCTGATCGACTGCCTCTTGAGCACACCACTTCCTGCCGGTCCTCACTTCTACACCTGCCAAGGAGACTTTGATGTCACTTGAGTCCCTATACAGCAGCACCTCTCTTGCACGGGTAACCATAAACTCCTCCGTCAGACTGCTGAAGGGTAGGTTAAGTTTGTTGCTCTTCCCGTACAATGCGATGCTGCTGAGGCTTTGTGGTAGGCCCAGCCACTTCCGCAAGAAAGAGCTGACCTTCCTCTCGAAGCACTCGACGGTGGTCACAGGCACATTATAAACCAGCAGTGGCCAGAGAAGTCGAGGTAGGATGCCATGTTGGTAAATCCAGGCTTTGAACTTGCCTGGTAGCCCCGACTTATCCACTGCCGTCAGCCAGGTTCCCAACTCCTCTGATGTTGCTTGGAGTGCTGTGGTGTCCTTCAAGGTCAACAACAATAACAACAATGTTTAACAATAACAAATGGTAATAAAAAAAATAATAGCTACGATATGCCTCGAACTTATTTAGTCTACTAATATATGGTGTTAAAGTCCTCATATGTTTTACATGCTCCCCATATGAGGCTCTCTGAACATCTGTGCATGGAATACAGCACTCTTTTATCTAAGGCTGCCCTGAACGCATCACTCCGAGACGGTGCGTTGACTTTCAACGTAAATATTATATCTCACGTTTGTTTCCCTTTCATTAAAGGGCTCATTTTGTAACAAACACTGTTTAAATATAGTTTATGGCTTAAACTGACCTGAATCATCCCAAACTGTAAAGTATCAATAAGAGTATAAAGTATCAATCCAGTGCCTGTGAGGCTCAGCAGAAACACAGGACAAACTTCGGTTGTCTGGAAACCTGGCAACTTTGGACAAATATAGTGATCTGATTTATGAATGAACGTGGACCATCAAACCACGGGAGATTCAGGGGAGAAATGACAATACGGGAGGTGGGCGGGAGATAGGTCTGAAATACGGGAGAGTAATGGGAAAAACAGGAGTGTCTGCAGGTATGGTAACAGTATGTGCAGTGGAGCTCGTGTGCGCTGAGTATTAGCATTAGCGAGCTATTGTCGGCGATCACACAGCTGATTAATAAGCAAGTTATGGGACAAATAAAAGTACAAAAAGTGATGCTTCAACTCCAAACTAACTGCTTTAAGTGAATAAATTACATATGGAATGCAGGGTGTATGATGCAGCGTCCACTGTGGCGTTTGCTGCACCAGCTGTGTGTTATTTGATTCACAGGTCACTGTATGTCCCCTTAAATGAAAGCAGTGAGATCTTGGAAATGTGAAAGAGGAAGCCAGGAAGAACACATGCATTGATTAAGAAGAGCTGCTTGTAGGTCAAGTTAAAGTAGGGTTTTAAATCAATCTCATTGGGTGGAGCTTGTTTGCCGTCCATGTCTTCACAGTTACCTGAAGTAGGTATTTCCGGGATGCTGATACATAGGAGTCCGAGGTAGAACTATGTAAGATAAAAACTTTTTTTTTTTAGGTGTGGCAGCTTTTACTTAGCTGTGGTGGTGCGCCACGATCAATTGCATGTAGGGGAAACCCTGGACTGTAAGTTGCACAGTATGTCAGACTGTATATTAGACTGTACACCAGACCATGTACCAGACAGTATATCAGACCATATATAGGACTGTACAGCAGTTAGAACGTCAAAATAGCAGTGAGCTCACAATCTAAGAGAACAGTTTCTATGTGAGCCACATCACTGTCACAATTATCCTAACACCCAACAGCTGCTTTAGAAAGACCTGATACCTCAGAGTGGGACTGCTGTCATATTGGACTGATGTTATTTGTGGGTTTTGGCCTGTCAAACATACATGTTTGTTTACATGTAAAAATGTATCTGTATTTTTCTTTCAGATGATCAGTGGGGATAAAACCATAAAGTGAATAAATCTGGAAGCAGAGCTTCAGGCAGAAAAATATGTCATGTTAGTTTTTTGGAGCGTACTGCAATTTTGTCTTTGTTGTGCTTTTAACACACTAAAGTTCAGTGTGTTCAAAGCACAACATATTCAGCGACTGAACAGTAATCGGTTGACAAAAAGTCTCTATGACACAATTATAACTGTAGAGAAAAGTCACTGTTCAGTGAATTGATGGTAATGTAGAGGACATTTAGTGGGTATACTCCATCTTTTTAAGGAAACCTAGGCCAGTCATCCAAGTATATTTTCAGCTGAGTGTTTTAGTATGACTTCTATCGCTTTACATTTTCTGTTGTTTTTCGTAAGTTCTTTTATTTTTATAATCCATCTGCTGATTAAACAAACAATCAGAGTCAATCTACAGAGAAGCAACTGAAACCCTGAGGAATAATGGCTGACAGAGACAGCTCTGACTTCTCTTCCGAAAAATTGATTATTTTTATGCATTAGTTATATTTAGTCATAAGGTTTTGCTCTGAGAGCTTCCTGTCCTTTTTTACTTTTACTTGAAACGCCTAAAGCTTGAGGCAGAGAGAGCACACCCTACCCTTTTTTTCATGTATATAAAAAAAGCCAAGGCAGGAGGAGATTAGCACAAACCTCAGGGTACAAAACAAAGCAGCATCAGTGGCAAGCCCTGTAATGCTGGCAAAATCAGACATAAAAAGGGGGAGCTGGGGTGGAGGCAGGGAGAGCAGCAGGAAAGGGTTTTGTAGAGGAAGCAGGAAGAGTAGGCAGCCTAAAGATGTTAGAGTAGAGCATATATCATCTAGGGCTAGGCGATAAAACATAATATATTGAAAATTAATTTCCCTGGATATCGATATAAGACATGGTCGATATGCTTTTCAGTGGTCGGCATTCTGCCATGTTTTAGTAGACTATATGAACAGCCAATGAAAAAAAGGGGTTGCTCCGGGTCTGTTTCGCGCTTAACCAATTCTGCTGAATTAGAACCAAGTAGCAATCAACTGCATGGTAGCAGGCTGCAGCTACACACAGCCATAGCACTTTAACACGTGAAGCCGACAGCACTGTTGGTGAGAAGAAAATAAAAAGAGTGCTACCCCCGGCAGAAATGCAGATGAAGGCTCAACAAATGACATCATTGTCAACAACACTGGCACGAAAACGTTGGTGATGTGGAGGTATTTTGTTTTTTTGAGGTCGGACATGAAGCAGAGCAATGTGCACTGTAAATTATGTCCAGTACATGTTCTTGCAAAGTCAGGGAATACCTCAAATCTTTTTCATCAACTGAAGCAGTGCCACGCGGCAGAGCACACGCAATGCAAAAGGTTACAAACCTTGAGCAGAGTAAGGAACCCATGGCGCCTGTGCAGCCGAAACAGCCGACCATTCAGTCTGTTTTCTCTAGTGCAACGCTTTACGACAAAATATTTAAGAGACACAAAGACCTCACAGATGTAGTAGCTTATTGTATTTTAAAAGACATGCTACCAATAAGAGTACCAGGAAACATTTAAGATTGACAAGTGATTTTTTTAATCTAGTGATATATGAAGCATAGCGGTAGTTCAAGCAGGACAAGGAGTCAAGCTAAAGAGCTAAGGTGATTGCCCTTTACACATCCTATTGGCTGATGTCAAAATGGCGCCCTTTTTAAAGTGCTTTTCCTGCCTACTCTGCCTGCTGCAACCACTCTGCAACCCCCCTCCACCCCAGCTCCTCCTGTTTATGTTGTGTCTGATTTTACCAGTGTCGTATTGTCACTAATGCTTGCTCTGTTCTTTGGGGGGATTTCAATGTATTCATCTTAATTAGTGATGCACGATATGAAAAATTTCAACCGATACCGATAACCGATAATTTTCTTCTTCTCATGGCCGATACCGATAACCGATAAATTCATATTTTTACATTTATTATAATCTTCATATAATCTGCAGTTTGTGCAGGATGCAGCGATTGAAAACTGATGTTTTTGTTGCTCTGGCCTATCTAGAACAACAAACAAAAGTTTTTGGCTCTTCAAATGTGGTCATTTGCTATAAATAACAATAACAGAGCAAAAAGCAGAACTTCATTTGATCCCCTGAACTGTTCAACAGAACTGTAAACTGTAAAGGAGCTATTATGAGACGTTAGGATTAGCATGCTGACCGGACTAACATCTGACGTCCATATGTCTGTGGTAAAACTCACGTGTAGTCCGTTCTTGTCGATCAGGTTGTGAATGTATGTGGCGACAATATCATAGAGTGCAGGAAGAGACACATCCGAGAAGAAGTGGCGGCTTGGGAGAGTGTAACGTGGCTCCAAGTGTGCTATTAACTTACGAAAACCCGGGTTCTCAACGACGGAAAAAGGCTGGTCGTCGACCGCTATGAACTCCATCACTTTGTCGTTAATGGCTTTAGCCTTTTCGCTGTCTCTTGAGAAGCTTTTACAGTTTTTAAACACCTGCTGAATGGGGACATCGATCCTCCGTAGTGTTGTTGTCTTAGCTTTAGTACCGCTAGCAGCTTCGGCAGCTGTCTCATATTCTTTTACTACCGCTTCGCCGCGATGGCGACTTTTCAGATGAGCTATCAGATTCGTTGTGTTAATACTTGACGTCTTCTTTCCTCCTCTCGGAATCCTCGCTGAACAGGTTTTGCATATAGCAATGCTGTTGTCATCTTCTGCCACTGAGAGAAACGACCATGCTGGTGAAGACATTTTATTATCTGTCAGGTAGTGACGGGGTCAGGCTTGGGACCTGCGAGTAAGGCGCGATAGATGACGTTACCAGCGCGTCTCGGACGGGCGGCTACTCCGCCTGCAAACGTTACTCGTAATTTCATTAATATATCGGATCTTTCTATCGGAAAAATGCACCTATCGGACCGATAAAAAATGACGTAATTTCCCCCCAAATCGGCCGATATTTTATCGGTCCGATAAATATCGTGCATCCCTAATCCTAATCGTATTTATTTGCTGCTGCTTCCTCTGCCTTGGCTTTTCATGTATGCACATGAAAGGAAGGGGAAGAGCTCTCCCCTCCTATAGCCCCGGCATTCCTTGCAAGCGCATGGAAGGGCAGGGAACTCTCAGAACAGAGCCATACCACCAATGTAAAAATGTTTGCTTGTAATAAATAATTAATTTTGACTAAAGTGATCCTGACTGAACTACATTAACTGATATAAAAAATATATGGTGATAAATTTTTTACCAAATTGCCCAGCCCTATATTCACCTTTGAGAATTGGATGTGAGGAAGGTTTCCAAATGAGCTGTCGGCTGGTATAGGCTGGAGTTGATGTACCGTGGTGGAGCGTGACCCTAGCGTCCTGCCTGAACTAACACTCTTACGTTTTATTAAAGCTTTCCAGTCCAGTCAGCTCTCTGTCTGATCAAACCTCCTCCTCTTCAGTTTGTATCAGAGACAGGTGTGCGCTCAGGTGTATATTCTGCCGGAGACACTGTGGGGTAGAGATAAGGACTCACCTTTCACCTCTGTTATTCACTGTCACTTTGTTAAGCATGATCACTCAGCACTGACAGCAGGAAAAACAGGAATTTGTTTTGTCACACTATCAGCTCACAGTAATCAGATGCATATGTTTTTTGTTGCTAATACCAATAACCAGTAAAAAGCTGCTCCTGATGCAGACCAGATGGTTACAAATGTGGGTATGTGCTGAGCAAAGATTTATACTCTTATTCTTATTTTATTTCTGACTCACATCTCTGTTGGCACATTGAACAAAGACCTCACACTTAAGATTTCTTTTTTGATTCAATGAATGAAGTGAAAAAAGACAAAATAAGTTAGCTTATCAGCTGATGAGAGAGTTTGGATGAAACGCTTTGACCAACATGTCCGACCAATAAAGAGAAATAAACTGCCATCAAACCTGAGATTAGACATGTCAGCAAATAAACCAGGTAGCTTTCAGAAAGTAAAGCACATCCCTGACTGACAGTCATATCCTTAGTCTAAATCCAGCTGCTAGGCCTCAGACTGAGCACGCTTATACCTAAAGAGGTCCGTCTGTCCACATGTGGTTAACCTTCAGACGTTGGTGTGGAACAGGCTGAGAGCAGAGATCACATCAAACAGGAAGACTTCTGCAGAGACTCAGGATCATCAGGTTCCGTTTAGTCTTGTCCGTTCCTGATGACCTTCCTGCAGTTTGAAATCCTGCTGAGCCAGCATTATGGCAAATGCTTTGCAGTGGTGCTAATACTGGCAATAGCTACTGCTGTGTCCTATTTTCTAAAAAACTTTTATTTTATTGCAATTATGACTTTCCAGGTGAACTTAAGAAGCTGTTTTGGTAATATTCTCTGAATATTTGCAGCACGTTTTGTTGGTTGCAAAGATATGACCTCTGAAACTAAGGCTGTGTCTCTTTTCAGAGACCACATCAGGATAAGTGCGCTCAAGCACTGCCGTTATGTGGACTGGAGTACCCTGAGTGAGATGGTCCGTTTTTTGTGAAATGGGCCAGCCTACCTTTCAGGAGGACTTCCTGGTTGAGTCGCCAAATGTCCCCACCCTCAGGCTCGAGTCACGACTGACCTGAAGAAAAGCCGCGGAGCACAGCATTTATTTTTTAATTGTGCGACCTCGCACAGACACAAAACAGTAGATACATACAAGCACAGATCATTTCCACAAAATTAATCCAATGATTGCATGTTTTGTATGAAGGAGTATGAGGGCCATATAGAGAATTTTTTTAAAGACTTCGAGATTAAAGTTGTGAATTTATAAGAATAAAGTCATTAATTTATGAAAATAAAGTCATAAGGTTACCTGTTATTTCAAAGGAGAGATGTTTATATTAGAGCCATGAAGCATTTAAAGGAACTGTGCTTCAGTATAGGTTTCACAAACAAGGAGATACTTCATCCTTTGGCACATCAGCATCACATCGTCACAAGTATAAAGACTTAAAAAGAATATATGAGAAGTACGTCTTTTCCACAGGGAAAAAAAACAGGTGCACTTGAAGGAAATCGCTGCTTTTGTGGAGGCAGAAATGGATATGCAGAGGATATATCTGTCAATGTAGCCGTAAATATCCGTGAATGACATTGAGCTTAAGTTTATGATATGAATCCATATGCCATGATAAGGTGTTGGTGTCTCTGCAGGTGTAGGCTACCGCCGGTGTCAGAGACGTGGTGCTCGTCGGAGCTCGACTCCCTCTGGATCACAAATGTTGATCATCATCAGTTGGATTGTTTCTTCAGAAACCACAAAAACTCTCTGAATGACCCACTGATACATCCACCAATAACCCTGCAGTTGACCAGCTCCAGTCATTTCCCCCTCCACAAAAGCAGCTTTATGACTTTATTTACTTAATGACTTTATTATCCCAAGTTTACAACTTTAATCTCTAAGTCTAAAAAAAAAAAAAAAAAAACTGGAGGTGTCAATGATCCTCTGCTGTAGTTTTGGCAGCTTTCTTATTTCTAATGGTTTTGATTGTGGTAGCAGAGCGAATCAGTTCGTCTCTAAATACTATAATGTTTGGTTTTTCAGATTTTAGTGAGCTCAGAGATCATGCTCTCATACAGCCTGAGCTGACTGTCTGCTGGTTTTGGATTTCTTGTATTTTCTTTGAAGACGTGCTGTGTCTCCAAGTGAGTCCAGCCTCTCACCCGAAATGGGCAGCGGCACTCAAAGAATTCTGGGATACCAAGGCCACAAAAGCGTGCATAAATGCACGCTTGAAAAACGGGCGGGGGTAGTGTGGTTTTGAGACCGAATTTGAAGCGCGCTTAGCATTTCATGCCAAATGGGACACCGTTCGCGCCACGTGATGACATCGCGCACACTTCAAACGCGTCGTTCGACGGTACAGTCTCTGTAATGAGACACAGCCACAGAAAAACAGCCACATAGTGATGCCATGTTGGTGATTGTTTTTCTCATTGTCTGTGCTGAATGACAGACTGCATACTGCCACCTACTATGTGGAAGTGTAAAGCTTGTCTAAATGTAAATAAGGCAACATTTATCGGCTGTTTTTATTTATTCTATTTACTGGTCTATTGTCATAAATCTTCAAATAAAGAAGAGTAGGATATTTTAATTATAGATTTTTTTATTTAGATACCAGTTTTCAACCTCACTGACCACAGTCTGGGGTCTGTAGTTTGGAGCTTTGGACTGTAAAACACGTTGTCTTTGTAAAAGAAGTTAAAGTTAGATCGGACCGTCTCTGTTCTAACAGTGGAGGAGGCATGCAGAGTCTGTCTGATTAGTTGCTAGCCTGAGTGAGCTAACCCTTTGATCAGTGTGTTTCTCGCTGATAAACCATGCCACCGTCATCTCCAGTAGGCCTCAGACCCTGATAGACACTAATTGCGTTTCTAAGGTGTCCTTAGAAACGCAGCATGAGGACGAAACGGTTCAGTGCAGGTGAACCTCCTGAGTTTAAGAGCAGAGCTGGATTACTATGCCCAATAACCTCTGCTTTGTGTTTCTCTAATGAAACGATAATCTGATGTTGGCATGAGCTGTGTTGTTTTGAAGCAGTCAGCTTGAATCTTCCTCCTCAATTCAGCGTTCAAAGGAAATCTGGTGACGTCAAATTGTTTCATGTCATATAAACCAATCTAAGCCTGCGATACAGAAAAAAGGTCTGAAATAAATAACAAATCTCACACTGTCGGCCTGTGACCACAGTGTGAACCAGCTTTAACGATCAGCTGTTTCATGTAAATGATCAGCTGTCTCAGTTAATGATCAGCTGTTTCATTTTGATGATCAGCTGATTTAGTTGAAGGATCCGCTGTTCTAGTTAAACGATCAGCTCGATTAGTTAAAGGATCAATTGTTTTATTTTGATGATCAGCTGATTTAGTTGAAGAATCAACTGTTTCATGTAAATGATCGGCTGATTCAGTTTAAGAGTCAGCCAATTTATTTTGCTAATGAGTTGATTTATACTTCCATCAGCAAATTACATCAACGATCGACTGTTTCATTTTAGGGACCAGCTAATACAGTTTAAGGATCAGCTGATTGAGTTAAGGATAGGCTTTTTTATTTTTAAGGATGAGCTGATTCAGTTTAAGGATCAGCTAATGCTTGCTTCAGTTAGCTGATTGCATCCATGATCAGCTGATTCATACCTAATGTTATCAGCTGATTAATTGTAATGATCATCTTATTAATATTAACGATCAGCTGGTTCATATGAATGTCTAACTGACTCATTCAGCGGACCCTGTTGTCACACAATCTCTCCTGCTGCATCAGACGCACCTAAAGGTCCTTACACACTGGGAATGACGCAAATATACGACACGAAAATACGAAAAATTTGGAGGCGAATTTTGACACGCCTGACTATACACATCAAGCGCGTTGCGATTTTACGACTTTCTGGGGGGGAAAAAAGATGCGTCCCGGGTGGAAGCGAGAAGACTGACACAACACCAGACTGACTGTTTTTCAGTTCTGATTAGACACTAGTGTTGAGATGGTTGTCTGTCATGATAGCATGTACTGAGTCAGGGCCAGTGCCAGATAAGCACATTAAACTATAATCCATAAAAGTAAGGTAACAACTGAGACCTAATGGTGCTTTGACAGCAACCCGATTGAGTTTAAGACAGTGAAAATACATATGGTATGTTGCATCTGAACAGGTTAGCTTATGAGCTTAAGTTACTTAGCACAGATGAAAGTTAAAGCAAAGACACAAAAACCATTGTCAAATGAGAAATCCGACGCTATGACTCTCCGCAAGTTGTCCTTCAGGTCGTTATCTTTGTAATATTTGTCTTTTATCAAAAAGCACTCTGTTCTCCAACACGTAAACAATCAGCCGGTCAGCCATGTTGGAAATACCGGTGAATCTGACGTTGCAACAACACGAAATCTGATTGGTCAGTAGTGGACACACAGTATGCAAAACTTTAGAAAAATCGATCATGATCCGAACAAAATAAATACCGCAATATTGCAGGACGGGAAAACGTCGCTGATGTGAACGCTCCTATTGACAGGATACGGGTTCGAAAAAAATATTGATGTCTGAAATAATTGCAGGAAAATAACGTTCCTGGTGTGTAAAGACCTTTAGTCTGTACTTTTTTCAGAACTGAATGAGAAGCAGACTGTTCTGGGGGTGATGTGCTAGAGTATAGTGAAATAACAAAACCCCTCACTCTCCGCCCATCCTGCCTTTGAATCCACTGCCAGTGCTGTCTGACTGTAATAAGTTTTGGACTGAGGCAATGTGGTGGGAATATCTTTGCAGCCCACATGCTATTGTCTGTGTGCTGCCATTCACAAAAGTAAAGCAACTGTTGCCATGGGAGATACTCCACAAAATAAACAATTAGGTGTTTTTGGCTAAACCTTTCCACATTAGCTAAGTGGCTCACAATGCACCGACTGGCCTGCTGCTGTTTCACCTACAGGAGGGCGTGGAGTCCAGAGAGACTCCAACATTCAATAATAGATGGTAGAAATAGGAATTTGACCTTCATTGAGGTCACAATTACAGTTGTGTCAAAGTTATCAGGAGGTTCTGTTGGACTGTTAAATACAAAGCCCAGACTCAATTTCTTCAGGTCTGACACATCTTCAGAGTTTCTTAGTTTTGTTGTAATTTGTCCAGCAGCCCCTGGAGCCTCTGTAAAAAGCATCAGAGAGACATTTTTATATAGTATGACACTGATTCACGTCTGCAGGTAATATGGCCCCTCCATGACAAACCTGAAAAAACCTTGACCTAAAACACAGACTGGTCAGAAAATCAGCTCAGCTCTCAGCCCTGTTTTCCTTTTTTCTTTAATACGAGTCAAAGAAACATGACAGGAAGTGACTGTCTGAGGTTTGAGCCACTTTAATCACCTGATTTAAATCTGAAAATCACTGTAGTCTTAAACAAACTGACATGCCTCTGCCTTTCTGGTCTTGATGTGTTCAGGTCTTCTTGGGTAAATGAAACTCATATTCTCCCATCATTATTGGCTTTGTAACCAGGACTCTGTATGAGCTGTTGTTGTCTGTCTCTCTCTCTCTCTCTTTCTCCCACTCTCTTGCTCTCTCTTTATCTCTATCTTCCCCCTCTCTTCCCAGAGGCAGCAGGTAGCTGTCTACCATGAGTGTGGATCTGCTCAAGGTTTCTGCCTGTTAAAGAAAACTGCAAAGTGCCAACTCATGTTGGTTCGAGATAGGTTAAGAGTGGGTCTTATCTCTAAATGGGACTTATCTGGAGGTTGAGTCTTTGTATTACATCAAACATAGAGCGTGGTCTAGACCGGAGGCCTGTACTACGAAGCTGGATTTGGTCTTAGCGAGATAACTTCTGGATAACTTCTGGATTTTCCGTACTACGAAGGTGGATCTCTTTTTATCCGGGTCCGTTGCCCCGGTAACTTACGCGGAACGCCAAACCTGCTCCGGAGCATGTTATGTTTCAGGATAAGATCTCAGCAGGTATAAAAGACCGCCCAATGACCAATCGGATCTCTTGGAAAATGGCTTGCCCACTTTTGCCGGATCCCGGGGACATCGTTGCGCGGATAGTGAGATGAGCGCTTCGCCGAGAGCGTTATATTCATGATCGTTCAAATCCGTTTGATTTACCTGATGACGTTCTCTATGAACGTTACAGGTTTTCCTCGGACGGTCTCAATATTCAGGTAGCATGAAGTCTAAGCAATACACTAAAATTTGCCAAGCTCCAGGTTCAAATTTGTTAGTCATCATTCAGAATTCATTGAAGCAGATTAGAAAACTCTTAACCCCAAATGTGTCTGCAGATGACATGTGACCATCAGATGATGGAGAGAAAAAAAAGGCAAATAAAATCTTTACAAATAAAATCTTCCAATAAACTTACAAACTACTTTAAAGGATGTTTTTAGATTTATTTTTATTTGCTCCCACATACTCTTTTCCCCACTGCTGTTGTGTCTGAAATAATGAGGTCAGTGATGGTGGTGATCACACACGCTGCATGACAATATATTAGGGGGCCATAAATTTATGAACGCACAAATGTCATTTACACAACCGGTGATTTTTTTTTGCCGGCAGTCCCTCCGGCTTTTAGCGGCTGTGTCTGTCCCACTGTTTAAATAAAGCTCTGTTCTTCAGCTGTGAAAAATGACGTGCAGCCTTCTCCATTGTGGAGATTGGTCCGGTGGCACTGACCCGACCCCCTTTACGTGTGCGCGCACAGATCTGAACTGGATTCAGTTATCGAGTTGATAACAGGCTTCGTAGTACAGCTGATCGGGATCGCGGAGATCCGGTGAAGTTGAGCGAGTTGTCGCAGAGTTATCCTGGATTTGTTAATCCAGCTTCGTAGTACAGGCCTCTGCTCTCTTGGAAAGCATCTGGAGATAACGATTGTTTTGATTTGGCGCCATAAAGATAAACAATGATTGATTAATTGATTGAGTACATGTTTTCAGGTCTTCAGTGTTCAGGTCTATAATGTTCAGATCTTTAGTGTTCTAGTCTTAATGTGTGCAGGTCTAAAGTGTTCTGGCCTTAATGTGTTCAGGTCTTTCGTGTTCAGCTCTTGATGTGTTCAGGTCTTTAGTGTTCAGGTTTTTAATGTTAGGTCTGTAGTGTTCAGGTTTTAAGGTATTAAGGTCCTTAGGTCTTTAGGTGTTCATGTATTTAGGTTTTTCGGTCATTAATCCAATCTTAATTTCAATTTATTTAGGATAGCCTCTTGAGATACAGCATCTTGTTTTCGAGGGTGTCCCTCAGGTCTTCAGGTTTATTTGCTGTAGTCTCCAGTTTCAGGGTCCCGAACCAGCTAGGCTGTCCCTGATGGATGGTGAGGGTCTAAAGGATGGACAGCTCCTGAGATAAGTGGCTTAGGCTGAGAGTTACAGTCTACCTGCGCTGGAGGATGTGGTGCCTTCAGGGTCAGAGTCAGGGTCAATAAAATATAGCTGTCGGTGGTTTTTCCTGAGATTAGGCGGCTGGCTGCTTTCTCTGGACAAATGGCCTGACTGGAAACACTTGCTACATCATCATCTCCCCTCCTTCCACAAAAGAACGCACTTCCTGAGGAAGAGGCGGCCCTGGGCTGGATGCTGTGATGTCACAAAGATAAACAGTCTGCAGATGGTTGTTGGTCTCTGGATGTGATGTGCTGTCATCCCGCAGAAAGCCTTGTGCGTGCACAGCTCCAACACATGCAGGCCAGAGAGTGGCCAAGTACACACCCACTTGGGTCAGTTGTTTTATAACCAAGGAGAGTGAAGACAATGTGGCGTGGAGGTGCGGCTCCTCTAGAGTATTTTGGGAAGCAGGCCGATGGTCTTGTTGCTTTCAGGCTCTGTAGTTCTTTTGTTGTGGTGTATTTATGCTGGAGCCTGCTAAATCCAGATTTGGGGTTGTCTGGAGCGCTTTACTTTCAAAGGGATGTGCTATTTTAACACATCTTTGTTTCCTCTTCAGCATGACTTAAAGCAACGGTACACTATTTGTTTTTATCACTTTGCAGAAATTCTTCTGTTTTTGTAAATCCAAACAGCAGATATGATCTTTTTGACATCCTTAATGCTCTCTTTAACCTCTGCATGCAATCTGGACTATTTACTTACACCTTCTTGCTCTGCATTTTATCCCCTTCAGACTGTTTCCAGGTCTCTGCTCTGCAATGTCTCCTGCTCATGCTGTCCCTCTGTTTCTCTTTCCCCCACCTTCCGTCTCCCCACCATGTCCTCGTCTCAGCTGGGCCATGAATAAGGAGCTGACACCAAACTGTCAGCCTGCAGGCCGTCATGCCCTTGCAGCCTGCCGGGGGTATAGCCACCAGAAAGAAGGGCACAGCCCCTCCCTTGCAGGGCTAAAAAAAAAGCTGAGATCTGACTTTAACAAACACGCTTGGGCTCGGACAGATCACATGACCTCAGAAGCAGTGGTTTTGCATGTATGCATGATGTGAATGATGTTACTGTAGTTCCGGCTGCTAAAATAAGTAGGTTGTTGTTAGGGACGTCTGCAGCCCTTATGTGTTTCCTTTATTTTTAGCTTTTCTTGCAGCATACTGTATGTTCTCCATAAACTAAACCATTACCCCCTCTTTGAGTGAGCACTGTCATTAAAATGCAGATCTGCACTTTTTCTCCCCGTTACCAAATTTAAGCGCCTGTAACACCAGCCTGTTTCGCACAAGGAGGCTTTGTAGTCAAATACAATGTTGTTTGTGTTTGGGCGGATGAAAGCAGAGCATTGTTGCAGAGCGGTGTTTGAATCAGAGGTTTTATTTGATATAAAATGGGTAATTCTGTTGCATAACAGCATTAGCAGTTTTTAAACAGAGCTGGGGCGGGTGGGGGAGGGGACAGGTCACTTTACGGGAGGAAATCCTCACTTTTACTGATGATGGAGCTCATCCTCATTTAGTGATGACACCAGGAGCAATTGCCTCAGATTAAAGGTTTAGAGAGATTAGACAGCATATGGCTGTGCAGTTAAGACAGGTTAATGTGCATATATCATAACACAGTGAATTATCATATTAATGGACTGAGCCTCTGACCTGAAGCTCATTTAATCAAGCTCTTCCTGCTGGAGGGGGGGCTCCATCTGCAGGAAAGAGACTTGTGTTATGTGGGGTCCTGCTGATGAGTTTATCCAGAGATCAGACACAGAAAGACATAAAGAAACTGGAGGAAGGAGAAAGGTCCCAGTGCTGCTGTAGGAGCGGAGTTGCAGGTGGCAGGGACGGGGTTAAGGTATAGCTCGGGGTGCCTCCGTCCCCCTCTAAAATGTAATATACACCCCCAAAATCCTAAACTTTGACAGGCGACTTGCCCTATCATCTTTTGGCTGAGACTGAGAGTACTGTGTGCAGTCTCAATTCAAGCAATTGAAGCTTCATTATTGTCAGTTTCTTTGAGAACATACACGGGAAAAAATACAGATAACCTACGAAAAATACAAAATAAATGTAATCTATATATTTTTTTATTTTTGTGTCTTCACCTTACTTTGTAACTCGGCATAACGTATTTTCAACTGTGAAGTACACTACTCCGTGTGTTTGAGCACGTATTAATTCCAAATATTAAGGACTGTGTCATGCTTTTCACATTTACAACAAAAACTGCGAAGTTACAAAGTTTGGTGTCCAGACTACATGAATGCAAAGTTAGGAATCACGAGGTGAACTTCTTATGTATAATCTTAGAAAATAGATGTAAACTATTAATATCTCAATAAACAGACAAAGGATGCCCCCTGGACGCCTTGCTGGTGAGGCGTTCAGGGCGCATCCCAATGGTAGGAGACCGCGCGGAATACCCAGGACACGCTGGAGAGACTGTGTCTCACAGCTGGCCTGGGAGCGCCTCTGGGTCCCCCGGGAAGAACTGAACAAAGTGGCTGGGGCGAGGGAAGCTTCTCTGCTCAGGCTGCTGCCCCTGTGACTTGACCCCGGATAAGCGGTTGAAGATGGATGGATGGAGTTTATGTGGGAGATTTACTAAAATCCTGACGAATTATAAAATTATAGACTCTCCTTACTGAGCCTCGGCAAAGCAGACTGGCCTGCCTTTGACAGCGTGTGAAGTGACACCCACAGTGGAGTGTGGTAACAATAGACACAATATACATATATATACTACAGGCCAAAATTTTGGACGCAAGATCAGATTTGTACAAAAAAGATCATAGTTTCATTAATATAATTTGCAACACAATAAACACGACTATTGTGTAAAGAGTAACTTATCGGAAGACATTTTGACTATAATTATTAGGTATTTGAGTTATTGTTGCTTACACTTTGCTTTCTTTAAAGTAACCTCCTCTGGCTTTAACAACAGCTTGGCATATATACCAGGCATTCGTTCCACAAGTTTTTAAAGGTATGTTCCAGGGATTGCATTCCAAGCTTTCTTAAGTTTATTCAAAAGAGACTGCTGATTCGTGGGACGTGTTTTTCTGACCGATCGATTTAATTCATCCTGCACAAGCTCAATTGGAGAAAGGTCTGGAGACTGAGGGGGCCAAACCGTCTTTTGAAGAACACCTTCCTCTTTTTTTTTTGTCTAGGTAACCCTGACAGAGCTTGGCAGAGTGCTTGGGGTCATTGTGTTGCTGCAAAACAAACTTATGAGCCACAAGTCTGAGTCCAGATGGAACAGCATGATGCTGGAGGATGGAGTGGTACTGTTCCTTCTTCATGATACCCTTTTTCATCAAACAAATCTCCTACTCCATCACCTGCAAAACATCCCCATACCATGGAACTACCACCTCCATGTTGAATTGTGGGTGTAACACATGGTGCTGTCAGACGTTCACCAGTTTGTCTGCGGACATACACTCTGCGTTTTGAACCAAACAGTTCAAACTTGCTTTCAACTTGTTTCTTGTCATCATAAGTCCAATTTTTGTGAGCTTTTGCCCACTCATATCTCTTTTTCTTGTTCTGTGGACGAAGTAGTGTTTTTTTTTTTGCAGATACACAACCCTTCAGACACGCCTTTCTCAAACTTCATATCACAGTTGTCAGAGATATGGGTTTCGACCTTGTCATGTTGATTTCCTCCCTTATTTTTGGTGCTGTCTTTTGCCGATCTCTCTTTCTGGTGGCAATAATATGTTTATCCTCTGCTTTTGTGGTAACTCTCTTTCGTCCAGGTCTTTTTCTATCATCATAACTTCCAGGTTTCTCTAGTCTCTTCAGAGTGTAGTGGACTCCTTTGTTAAACACCTTTAGGCGTTTTGCAATTTCTCTTTCTATGTATCCTTCTTTCCTCAATGTACAAATCTGTACTTTTGTGTCTTTACTCGGTTGCTTCTTTCTAGCCATTTCCGCAGCAGTATGAAAGTAGTTGAGATTTATTAGGAGTTTTGTATGCAGACTCTCAAAAGCCAAAAAGTTGAAGTGAAAAATCCAACTGTGATTCGTTTTTTTGCCTTTCCACTGAAGTTGTGACTCTTGCAAATGTTTTCAACCCTAAAACTAAGCCCTTACTATCTTTTGATGACATATTTTTAGCAATGGTCTGTTAACATCAATGTATATCTAAAGTTAAATGGAGTAAAATGGTGCATTTCCATGAAAGCAACATCTGATCATGGAGTAAAAACATCCCAAAATACATAAAACTCATGCTGGATTTAAAAAAAAAGCATTGTGAACAAAAACTTGAAGTTACTACCAACTGTTTGGCCTGTAATGACCTTGCTTCCAAACTTTTGGCCTGTAGTGTATATATATATATATATATATATATATATATATATATATATATATATATTTACATACAGTGCCTTGAAAAATTCTTCATACCCCTTGAACCTTTTCACATTTTGTCACTCTACAACCACAAAAGTATTTTATTGAGTTTTTTTGTCATAGACCAACACAAAGTAGCACATAATTGTGAAGCTGAATGAAAATGATACATGGTTTTCAAAAATTTAGGCAAATAAAAATCTGAAAAGTGTGGTGTGCATTTGTATTCAGCGCCCCTGTGTCAATACTTTGTAGAGCCACCTTTCACTGCAATTACAGCTGCAAGTCTTTTGGGGTATGTCTCTACAAGCTTTGCACATCTAGAGACTGAAATTTTTGCCCATTCTTCTATGCAAAATAGCTCAAGCTCAGCTAGATTGGATGGAGACCGTCTTTGAACAGCAATTTTCAAGTCTTGCCACAGATGCTCAGTGGGATTTAGGTCTGGACTTTGACTTGGCTGTTCTAACACATGAATATTCTTTGATCTAAACCATTCCGTTGTAGGTCTGACTGTGTGTTTAGGGTCATTGTCTTGCTGGAAGGTGAATCTCTTTCCCAGTCTCAAGTCTTTAGCAGCCTCCAACAGGGTTTCTTCCAGGATTGCCCTGTATTTAGCTCCATCCATCCTCCCATCAACTCTGACCAGCTTCCCTGTCCCTGCTGAAGAAAAGCATCCCCACAGCATGAGGCTGCCACCACCATGTTTCACAGTGGGGATGGTGGTGTGTTCAGGGTGATTAGCAGTGTTACTTTTCCGCCACTCATAGCACTTTGCATTCAGGCCAAAAAGTTCAACTTTGGTCTCATCTGACCAGAGCACCTTCTTCCATATGTTTGCTGTGTCCCCTACATGGCTTGTAGCAAACTGCAAACAGAATTTTTTATGTTTTTCTGTCAACAGTGGCTTTCTTCTTTCCACTCTTCCATAAAGGCCAGATTTGTGGAGTACATAACTTAAAGTTGTCCTGTGGACAGGTTCTCCCACCTGAGCTGTGGATTTCTGCAGCTCCTCCAGAGTGACCATGGGCCTCTTGACTGCCTCTCTCACCAGTGCTCTCCTTGCTTGGTCTGTCAGTTTAGGTGGACAGCCATGTCTTAGTAGGTTAGCAGTTGTGGCATACTTATTCCATTTTTGGATGATGGATTGAGCGGTGTTCCTTGAGATGTTCAAAGCTTTGGATATTTTTTTCATAACCTAACCCTGCTTTAAAGGGGACCTGCCATCAAAATGTAATTTTGTGTGTTTTTTGTGTCAGATAAGGTCCATATTATATTCGTCTTATGTTGTAAATGTGAAAACAAACCGTTACGTCGTTTGCATTCTGTAAAGGTTTAAAATAAAGGAACGGGTAAACCAGGCCAATTGAAAAAGCAGGTCCCTCTGACGTCGCGCTGACCTTGCTCATTATTATTCACGAGTGCGTCCTCGGTGAGCCGTGCCCACTCTCTCGTTCTCGTTCAGAGCGAGACGCAGCTACCACTGTATCCGCTATGGGTCTCTTCCAAACGACCGGTGTTTCCTTGGGTTCACTGCCGGGAAAATGAACTTAAAGCTGGGCAGAATGAATGAGAAAACACCGCTGGAGATCTCTGGCTTCTTCTTCAACTTCCACCTCCTCTTCAGACTCGGGGTCTAAAATATATGGTTTAATACCTGCCATTTTTAGCCTTTAGCATAAGGTGACCAGACGTCCCCGATTTCCGGGGACAGTCCCCGTATTGGATGACCTGTCCCCGGCAAAAGCTGTCCCCGAAAATGTCCCCGATTTAAGCGTTTCATGAATGAGAGCAAAAATGTTGCGTGTGGGCTCGAAGAACGGTTATTACAGTAGCCGAATAGGTAGGAAGCACAAGTTAGCAGTCCTGAACAACAGTTTTTAAGGGGTTATTACAAGGGGCATGCGCTGCTACTAAATAGTACAGAGATTTTGTCTGTGATCACACAGCCCCTACAGCCCCTGCACCCGCCACCGCCGCTGAAAGCACAGAATATCCCCAGATATCATTACAGACATCTGGGCACCTTACTTTAGCACACATTAGCAAAATGGATAAACCGAAATCTGAACCTCCACTGCTGAGCCAATCAGAGCACAGCAGGCTTCACAGCAGCGATCCAGTCAGAGCAAAGCTCATTACCATAAATGTTAATGAGCCAAAATCAGTTGGTTTTCCTGTAAGGTTTTTTAGGCATACTAAAACAAACCTTCAAATAACTTTTCAGCTAAAATTATGTTGCAAACATGATCAGAGGACATCAAGGATTATGAAAAAATGATAAAAATGGGTATGAAATTTTGATGGCAGGTCCCCTTTAAACTTCTCCACAACTTTTTTCCCTGACCTGTCTGGTGAGTTACTTGGTCTCCATGATGCTCTTTGTTGACTAGTGTTCTCTGACAAAGCACTAAGGCCTTCACAAAACAGTTGTTTTAAGGTACTTATTAGGTGACTTCTGAAGGCAATTGATTGCACTGCATTTTATTTAGGGGTATCAGAGTACAGGGGGCTGAATACAAATGCACACCACACTTTTCAGATTTGTATTTGTTTACATTTTTGAAAACCATGTATCATTTTCATTCCACTTCACAATTATGTGCTACTTTGTGCTGGTCTATGACAAAAAATCTCAATAAAATACTTTTAAGTTTGTGGTTGTAGAGTGACAAAATGTGAAAAAGTTCAAGGGGTATGAATACATATACATATACACGAAGAAGTAGAGAGAGAAAGACCATTACTTTCATGAGGTACCTAAGAATCGTATCTCCAGCCCATATGTGAGTCTTCAAATAAAAGAATTATATCACTTCAAATGTTTGCTCTGTTTATGACTCTCAAACTTCATCACAGGCATGAAGAGGTATGAAGCTGAACATAACATTAATTCCAGATTACCAGCCACCTTCACCTGCAGCACACCTTCACCGTTGTCAAAGTCTCAAATACAGCCAGTTAAGTATTAGAGGAAGAAAACAGTCAATATTCTCACAGAAACACCAATAATTGTGAATGTCTAATTTCTGGGATTCTGTTGGTCTCCATATTTAATACTACAGACTGCTCCTTTAAAACTGCTGCGTCATCCCTGGTGTGAATATTTTGTAGAGGTTGTTTCATATATACGTTGTTTTAGCTAAAGCACTCAGAATTCTTAGTTTACACTCATGGCGGCTCGAACACACAGGCTGTAGACAACAGAAGAGCAGACATTAACAATGACCTCTAGAGCTCCCCCTGGTGACCAACAGAAGTACAGGTCCTACAGCCTACCTCCATGATAAGAGATGAAACATGAGGCAGACTGTAAGATCAAAATACACACCTCATAATATTTGAATGTGGGTGTAGTTAGTTCTTATGACGCAGATTCATGTCAAAGTGTGTGATAGACAGCTCTGTTGGCCAATCATGCAGGACGTCACATTAACATACAGTCACTTATGTTGTCCTTTAAAGCTGATACCTGTGTCTGTGACCCCGTGGGCTGGTTTGCCTCATTAAAGCAAAGAAAAATGAAGGTTATATTTGATAGAAAAAATTGTCTGTAACTCCTGAACCTGTGCCCGTCGTCAATGGGAATAAGTTACTATAAATCTGAGATCTTAGCTTCCATTTCGCTGACATTTACAGCATTTCAGTCACACTGTGACTTATTGATCACAGAGTCTGGCCTGCTGCCCAACACCAGTTCAGCTGCAGTTCATGAAATAAAGTCAGGGCCCATTTCTGCATGTTCAGGTCTGCATGCCCAACTGGAAGCACCTGAAGCTACAAAAAATTTGTTCCTTTGTCCCTAAAGAACCAGCCTCTACTTTGTTTTAATCACTCATAAAAATGGGAGAGTTATACCCAACAAAAGTATTAACTGGGTAAGCGCCAAGAGTCAATCCTCTGAAACTAACGGGTTTAAGGTTTTAAATGAAAAAGATAATCGTATTATGGAGCCAGACATACAAAGAGAGCCACATTTCACGCTTATGGATCCCCATAATCACCCGGTACGCTATCCTAAGGTTCAGGTATTAGGAAAGAAGGAGGGAGGGCACAAGAAAGAGGGAAGGGCACAGGGAAGGAAAGAAAGAGGGGTATGATGCTGCCCTCTGAGTCACTATTCTTTCATAAATGTATTTTCCATCTCTGTGGGACGATCATGGCTAAACAAATGCTAAGAAGCAAAACAAATGCTAATCTGTTTGCAGCTGAATACATTTTGTGGAGGCTGTGTCAGCCGTCTGTTCTTCAGAAACAGAAAACAGCAATTTGGCGGTGCCATTAACCAATCATAGTGTGATTGGCTTTTAAACTGTCTGAGCAGCGTTTGATTCTGGCAGCAGGCTCACGCTGCTGTTCCTGGATGCCGTTTCTTATTAAGGACAGCCAGGTTGTTGGCAGGCTGTTTGCTGGAAAGGCTGAATGAGTGGGCTGCAGTAGCATCTGTCCTGTTGACAAGGCGGCAAGTGAGCGGGCGAGCGAGCAGGGCTTCATCAGGGGGTAACATCAGGAGCAACCCAGGCAACACTACTGTACGGCCTCATTAGTCCTTGATACCATGAAGATGCTTGTCTTTGTTTATCATCAGCACTGACTGACTGTGGTCCTTGCTAATGTTTCAGCAGCATCTCCAGTAAACTGTTTAAACTATGGCAGACTGTATCAAATCTTAAATTTGTTCTCAGGGTCCAACTTCAAAGTCTCATAGTGTTTTGTCCTAGCAGTGAAATTCCTGTCATCAGAAGCATTCTCTGCGATAGCAGCACATCGTCATTCGACGCTCTCTTTCACTTCTCTCATTCAGGTGCATGCATCGCATCCCTCAGGTGATGCATCTTTACTCTCTGAGGCAGCAATCGTCTATCAGGGTTTTGTCCAAGGTTACTTTTTAAGCATGTAGAGGACAAAGATTGATTTGTACACAGGGCACCAGCGAACACAAACTGCAGGATCCTCATAAGAGCTTTAGGGTCAACATTTTTGTATAGTTAGGGGTGTGAATGACTAGATTGACAGGTGGACACAATGTAGCTGTTGGTGAAGGGGCAGAAAGCCCTCCTCAGCTGCTTTAAAACTTGGCTTCAGGAACTGATTGTTGTGTATCCATGTTCTTACAGGATGTGGTGTTACTGTGAGGCCCAGGCTAATGACATAAAAGGTGAGCCTGAGTTAAAGGTCTCAGGCTGGCTGACCATCAGCACTGGATGTCCTCCACTAGGGCTGAACGGTTTTGGAGAATAATCTAATTGCAAATTTTTTTTCTCAATACTGCAATTTAATATGCATATTTTTCAAGGTCCTCTTCTAATGTATTTTTAAACAAACAACAAAAAATTAATTCAAAATGTATCATAGTAAACAATATCAGTTTAATTATGAATTAATTGTTCTTCCTGGCAATTATCATTTCACACACGCAGACTTTCTGAGCTCAGACACTATCACGCACACATACGCACGCGCCCTCATATACATCATGATACTAATCTACAATGTAATCGGTGCCCAAAACACTGGAGTCTGGTCTATTCATTCAGCTATACTGCCATCACCGTATTGGATGCTTTTTCCGTCATTATGTGGACGTGGTTTAAGGTTAAGGTAATCGTTGCTGGTGTTTTACACATTTAACTATCGTACATGGCTTTGTTGCTTTTTTTAAAGTGTTGATAAAGTTTTGTAGTTTTACCTGCTTGTGTAGCAACAGTAGCACGACAGGTTCTGCACATGTGGCGCAGCAGCATCTTTTTTTGCCAAAATAAATCCACACAACTGCCCCTCTTTAGTGTTAAACTTAACGCAGTGTCAGCTTCTATAGCCAAATTAGGCTGTAGCGCCACAGAGTGCAGTGAAGACTACTTTCTCTCTCTCTACCTGCTCTGCTTTGCTTCGCTTGCTTGCAAGTCACGTGACCAGTCAAAATCGCAGCCTTTGTGGCTGGAAATTGCGTTTTATCTTATGGTGATATAATCGCAAATACAATTAATCATTCAGCCCTATCCTCCACTGATGACGGAGATGTGATTTATCTGCAGACTCCGTTTCAAACTGAGTACAGGTGTGATCTACAGACAGCACAGAAATAATCATTTTCCTCAAAGACTTGGTCTTTTTTTACATTTTATCCCTGATTTAAACTTAAAACTTAAACTTAAACTTTAAACTAAAGCTGCTAGGATCTGGAGGACAGTGTAAACTAACCGATGCATGGACTTAAGAGGAGATCCTTGTGGTGTTGCAGCCTGTAAACTCTGTTTATAGCTGGATCTCACTCTCTCTCAGACATCCTGTTTCAGACTCTTACCCATCAGAATAAACTGTCATAAAGCCACACAAAACTCTTATGATTAGCTGTTTCCCATTGTCTCAGTCCCAGTCACGTTGTTTTACATCTTAGCTGTATAATTTACCGGCTGAAGGCTTTCTGACAGCTTGTGAGCTTAAGTAAGCGGTAAGTTGGCTCACAGCCCCCGAAGCCCTGCCGCTGAGCGTGGAGACTCTGAATCTTTAATGCGAAACTGTGTTAAACACTGTTTTCACCAGTTTTAATTACTGGCCCCTCTTGTTATGTAGCACAGGAGACCTCTGAGGGAACTCCAACTTTCACTTCGCAACCCCAAAACAAGCTGGAAACCCTGACACAGGCTAAGCTAGTACTAGCACCAGCTTGGTTAGTAGCTCCGTCTTACATAGTGAAGAGCTGCGGTGAAAGATATTTCATATGAAATAATACAAATTTACTTTTGAAATGACTGTGCATCCTTGTTCAGGAGGGAGAAACAGATGGCATTAAACAGTAAATTTGAGCTGAACAATGATTGACCCTGAGTCCTCTTCTCTGATGAGATAGGGAGTAGATTTACCCTGAAAATAACTGATGAAGGCCTTCAAACAGCTGCCTAGGCTTTCAGCTCTGTTTGACTAAAACAGAGCAGAGGGCTCGCTGTATTGACGGTTTAGTCCCTTTTAGACCTAATACAGTGTGTTTTATGTTCATGTCAGCTCATGTTTCTCTAGGGGATCTGGAAATGAAAGTTGAAGGTTTGTAGTGTGCTCTGAATTTTTTAGGGCTGAAGGCTGAAAACATGAGTTCACCCTTTAACAAGAACAAGAAAAAATACTTTAGGAGGACGAGGAGCGGAGGGGGTGGTGTTGGGGGGGTCCATGTCTCTTTGTACATGCTAAACTTAAGCTGGTAAACTGTGAGCAGCTATTAGCAGCTGTTAGCAGATGTTAGCCACTGTTGGCAGCTGTAAGCAGATATAAGCAGATGTTAGCAGCTGTTAGCAGTTGTAAGCAGATGTTAGCAGTTGTAAGCAGATGTTAGCAGCTGTTAGCAGCTGTAAGCAGATGTTAGCAGTTGTTAGTAGCTGTTAGCACCTGTCAGCAGCTGATAGCAGCTAATAGGAGCTCATAGCTGTATGCATATGTCTGCAGCTGATTGAAACTGTGAGCAGCTGTTGCAGCTGTAAGCAGTTGTTAGCAGCTGATAGCAGCCTTACCGGCTGTCAGCTGTTACTTGACAGTCAGCTATAAACTGGCATTTCTGGGCAGCTTCCTTAGACTCTCTAAGTCGACGTGTTTGTTTGACAGACTGGTGTCTCTGTAGCCATCCTCTGTGGTTCTTGTTGTGTTGATACCACAGTCTCTCAGATATCTGGAAACAGGGTTGTTGCTAGGATGCGGGGGGTGGGGGTGGGGGGTTGTTTTTTTGTGGCTGCTCAGAATTTGGTTCAGGTTTTTTTTGTTGTTTCCTCTTCCAAACTGTCTACACGGGTTGAGACCCTTGACATAAATGGATACGGTGGTGAGGATAAAGGTTTTACTGCCACCTCCTTTTCTGCAGCCCTGCTCATGTCTCTTCATGTCGTCCCTCTCTTTTCTTTCTCCCCAGTGATGGCCTCAGTGGCGCAGCTCTGCCGGTGATCCTGCCGCTGCACGTCAGAAAGACGAGCAAGAGAGTAAGCGAGCTGCCTCTCTGGCTGAAAACAAGACCAGAAAAAAAGCAGAGAAGAAAAGAAAGAAAACACCAGCAGAAACAAATGCCATCATGTACAGTGTGGAGGACCTCCTCATCTCTCATGGATACAAGCTGCCCAAGCATACCAACACACCCTCATCCACCCCGACCCCAGTCCCCCTATCCTCCACCCGACAGCCCCCCTCTTCCTCGCCACCATCGTACAGCAAACATCACGAAATCCTGGAGAACATGCCGGGCCCCAGGACAATTAATGGCTTTGAAAGAGGGCCTGGGGTGACCTACGGGAATGGCGGCGGACCCAGGCAGCCCCAAGCGTACATCGGTGGCGGCTGTCCCAGCAACAACAACGAACCCAGGGACAGGAGCCAGTCCAGGCGGGAGGGTGAAAACAGGAGCCAGATTGACACCCACTCACTGGGAGAGTCACTGACCTCCGACAGCGGGTAAGATGGTGTCTGCTGGCCCTGTGTCTGTCTGTTTGCATGTTCTAAACTCTTTAACCCTGTCTAACCCTTCCTGATGGAGATCGCACATGTAAAATCCTCCATCAAAAAACTGCTTAAGTGGAGCAGATTAATGACATTTAATAACTCATCAAGAAGAGCTGCTCTGGGATTCGGTGGCACGTCTTAAATGAATCTGCCTCACGCCGCCACTCGTTCCCTCCTGCCATCTCTCTCTGCTGCTTCTGTTTCCCCCTGTGACTAACTTCCTCTCATTTCATTCTCTTTCCTCCTCTCTTCTCCACTTCCCAATCAAGTCCTGTGCATGGAGGAGGATAATGCGTGCTGGAGTCTTAATCTGCCACATGGGACCTTGGAGTTGTAATCAAAACAGCTTTGGGCAAACCTATGTGCATCCTTCTGAGCATGCCCAGTCTTTTTTTCAGGTTGCCATGTTTATCAGGATACCCCCTTCCGCATTCCACCCACAGACATTTTTACATTAAAGTAACTTGCCCAGTGAGTCACAGGAACCTACCTTCAGCATGACGTGTGTTCAGCCCATCAATAAAACAGGACTCATATAGGGCTGATTTAAATATGTATATGGAGGAAAGGCTATATTTAGACCGCTCTGCAGTTATGTAATTGAAACCCTCTCGGGTAGGGACTGCTAGAGCGTTTGATATTTCCAGAGATATCAGCAGGCTGCAGCCAATCTGTTTCATCCTGAAAACAGGATTGTTTGGTTTGCCTATTTGCATCAGTACTGGGGTTGGTGTGCTGTAACTGAGACAAAGTCAATACAGCTGTTCCCATGTCCACACAATTAGGCAGGCTCATCAGGATTTCTCCCTTTTCCTTACATTTTGTTTGGCTGACTCCCCTCTTTTTTTTTTTTTTTTTTTTACCTCTAATCCCTTTTTGCCACCAGCCAGTGACTGAGCGTCTCAAAATAGGCTGATGACCTTGAGTAATGTCAGCCGTTCTGCTGGTGCTTTTTTGATTTTTGGTAATCTGCATTTTCATGTCGCTGCTCTGCTACTGTTATCAGAGTATTCTGCTGGGAATATGGGAATCACTAAGACATATGTTTTCTGATTTCAGTCTGTTGTTTGTTCATCCTTCTTTTCTCCTGTCCAAATCCGTTTTGCCTGGCAGTTTTAGTTTCAATAAGGAAGGGGCCTATCATGGTACTCCCATCAGGCAGTGCTACTTAGATCCAATTAGACTAATGATGGTAGCTCATCTTACATGAGATGCCCACAAATTTAGCCGATTGGCTTGGCTGGCCCCTCCTCCCCAGGCAAATGTCCGTGGTCAGTGATGATGGTGGATGAAAATGTCAAGGACGCTCCGTGACCTCAGCCTGGAGGGGGTGTGCACATGTGCTCACGCCTTGTTTGCATTGTCAGTCAGTCAGTCAGCCATTCAGTCAGTCTCTGAGACTGAGGCTTAATGCAGAGGCCCACAGCATCAGTAGAGCATCCTCTCAGAGCGCATGCCTCCCTGAACACTGCCTGTGTGATATGCTGCTCATTGTCTCAGATTAGGAGCTTGAATGGAGTGCAGAGACAGGCTGTCGATAAATCGACCTCTAAATTGTTCCGCTCTCTTAGAGGACATCTGGGACAAACAGACACAGGGTGTCATTGTGTGATGTGTTCATTACAGCCCATAGAAAATCATAACAACCAGACATCACGTTACCTCTGATGGTCATCTGTCTCCATCTAGTGGGAGATGCTTTGTATGAGCCTTTCCACATCGTACACCAAACTGCAGGCCCAACAATTTGTTATACTTATCCTTTGGACTGGAGCTATTTATGGACTTTTGATGGCCCTGAAAAATACAGTTTGAAAGACTTTGTTGCTTTACTGTTTAAAAATATTCACAAGTTGCTGAATCTTTTCCAGTATGTAGACTCTACCACAGTGCATGGTCACATAGTAAACCCAGAGCCTGGTGATAAATGGGATTTATCAAATGGTGCTGGGTCAGTGGGCTGTGATTTTATTTTTGCTTTAGCTGTGTTAATTACATTATTGACCTCCTAAAGTCCATAATGATGCAACAGCTCTCTTCAGGTAGAGCTAAAATGTCTGAGTGGTGGCATGGACCACAGCTCAAAGGAAAGTGTTTCTGTTCTGTTCACCCAACTTTGAGCCACAGACTGACCACTGTTAGCTTTGACCAAGACTAAACTAAACAAAACTAAACTAATGGCTGAAAAATTACTTGATAGGTGTACTAAACGGAAGCCTGCAGTTGAGAGGCTCGTCAAACAGCATCCTGAGAACAGCTGCTGAGGGTGGCCATTAATGGTGAAAATGTAGATATTTATTTTGTATCCACATCCCCGAGCCTTAAAATGAGCTGTGGACCACAAGGTCATGATAATTATAGTGACGATGACATAATATCATAATTAAAATGACATATTATTGTGTGACATTATGCTCAAATAAAGCAGTTTCTGGATCGCACCCTTACAGGCCACACTCTTAGGAGGCTTAAACTGCCTCCTTTATCACCTCTGTAGAGTCTGGTTCAGACACTATATAACTACCCAACAAATGACTCAGAGAAGCAGACTGACACCATCATCGTCTCTCTCCTCTCAGGTTCTGTGATGCCACCAGAGGTCCTCAGCCACAGTCCAAGGATGTGACCTACTGGAGAAGAAAAGGGCAGGACTTCACAGTACTGCTGGACTATGCGGATTTCAGAGAAACCCATGGAGGAGGGCAGGGGGGTTACAGCAGGCCAGAGGGTCCTCAACAAGCAAGAGGCCAGGAGTTGTCTGCCGAGGATCGCCAGAGGTTGGCTCAGGAGAGGCAGCGCTGGGCAGCCCAGGCCCAGGGGCAGGCCCAGGCTCAGGTCCAGGCCCAGGCTCGCTCCCGAGAGAGGGAAGCTGCTCTGCATCAGTGGAGGATGGTCAATGAGAGGAAGTGCCAGAGCCTTGGGACAGATGACTGGCGCCCAGCTGTTAATTTTGCCCGCCAGCTGTCACAGAGTGAGGGTGAGCGCTGGGCTCAGGAGCAGCAACGGCTCCATGCCAGGACACCAGAGGGTATGGTAGTCCACCCCAGGACCAAAGCCAAATCTCAGTCCCTCCCTCGGATGGTGCAGCCTGAGAACCTGCAGTATGTCGACATAGCTTCATCCGGCCAGGAGCTGTACAGGCGGGTCAATGGCCAACCACTGTCACATCATGACCTTTATCGGGCACCTCGCTGGCCAGAAAATGGCAGGCCAGCTAGTGCCAACCAGCTCTCAATAACACCAAAGCCCCGCTTCACCCGACCCCCGAGACCTCCCTCCTATGAGATGCACCAGCAGATCAGGGGAAGCTGTGAGGTGTTGTCTGGGAGAGACTCTGTGATTTCCCAGGCCAGGGACAGGACACCACTTCCCATGTCAAGGACAGGTGACCCCCAACTGGACTATTTTGCACAAGACTCAAGACCTCCAGGATACATCCCTCCCCCATCATACAAAAGAGCTCCTATGATGGCCGGGGGCCGCCGGGTATATGGGGAAATGACTGCTGATTACAGGTATCATAGTTGTTTTTCTTCCTTTCATTTAAGAAATATGTTGTTTAATTATGCTTATTTAAAATTTTATACCAACAACATGACTGTATAAAAATTGTTAGAGGAACAACTAAACAACCAAACAGGTTGTGCTAAAGAGACAACGACCAAAACCAAGACTGCATGGTTCTGATCCTCAGACCCTCAGGCAGCGCTGCACTAAAAACAGACAGGAGTCTGGAGTGGGAATCACTGCATGGGCTCTAAATCACTTCTAAAAACCATTGTCTGTGAACACTGTTGATCAAATTTGCAATAATTATGCTCCTTTAGTTTCTTAAGTGAATGGGGAAATATCATAAAGGTTTCCCTCCATCACTCAGATGTTTTTTTAAGTGAACAAATTCTGGTCTCTCTTAATGTTATAATTATATACAGCACTAGAATAAAGCTAATCAATGTTGTTTTCTATCCTAGATACAGAGGGGATATTTACCAGCAGATACATGTGGCTCCAGATGGATCTCACTGGTTTGCCAGACATCCAGCTGGTTCCTGGCCTGACCCCCAAGGTGGGAGGATCCTGCCTGGCCAGAAGCAGCTTTACCCTGTGTATACTACCCAGGAGCACCCCGGTGGAGGAATCCAATATATCCCCTTTGACGACCCACGCATCCGCCATATTTCCTCAGCCCTAGGTGGCAACTCCCTTACGGACGCTGACAAGATTCGCCACATCCGCAATGAGCTTCCCAGTGTCACCGTGTCTGAGCCCACATCCGATGACAGTGCCTTCTTGCCCCCACCTTTGGGGCCTTTCATTGCTGCCAAACTGGCTGATGATGCTAACAAGACGTCTTCTAGCGACTTTGACAATGACAATAACAGGTGGCACAGTGATTTGCACAAAGAGACTGTAGATAACTTCCCAGCAACTGACCAAAACTGCAACACCAGATATCCCAAAAACCAACGTCCTCCTCCGTCCCCATCATCAGCCTTCCAGGCCCCATTAGTTAGGAGCTCTTCTCACCTGGGGTCCAGCTCAGAAACTATCACCCATGTGAAGAAAATTGTCCCTGATTCAGTGCCAGAAATCAACAGGAACAGTAAAAGAAGAGTGAGCGAGACTATCTTCTGCCTTGTGTCTGTTCCTGTTCACACACCGACCATCATTCACAAAGATTCAGCAGATCAGAACAACAATGAGACAGGATCAAACCTGACTGTCACAAACACAAACACTTTTGCTGTAGGCCTCAGAGAGAGCCCGAATATCCGCAGCAAATCTGTGAATGAGGTGCCCATCAAACCCCACTACTCTCACTTTAACACCAGCAGCACATCCTCGATGAGGAACTACAAGAGGGCTCCTCTGAGAAAGGAAATAATAGATGCCTGGGCACTTCAAGACAGGGAAGACAAAGAGCTGTGCTACTCTGGATCCTGGCCTGGAAACCAGTACCGTAACCAGGAAACCCAGACTGGCTCACCTCTATCTTTAGTGAAAAGTCCAGAACCCCAGAGTCCTCCTGGTGGACAAGAGCCCATTCAGTCTGTCCTGGACACAGCTATGGAGAGTAGCTCCAATTATAGCTACCCCATGACAGGTCAGAAAAACCTCCATCTCTCCAGCAACAGCGCCTTCTCTCGTCTCAGCCCGACCCAATCATCATCTCATCAACCCTTACCACCAGAGCTGTCTTCTACTTTGAAGGTCCAAGATCAGGAGGATCAGCATCCATCATCTCCCAGGAAGAGCAGCTCCAGTCCAGAAAGTTCAGAGCAAGTGGCCTTTGGACAATTTCTCTTGAAGCCAGTGAATCGACGGCCCTGTGATGTCATTGGTGAACTTGAGAGCATAAATAAGAAGATGGAAGATACAATTAGTAAGAGACCTAACGGGGGTCTTTGTACCAATGGCTCTGACAGGATGAATAAGAGATTAGACCAGTGTAAACCAGGAGCTCTCTACACTGCCGGTCCAGAACCAGGCAGAGAGGCAATCAGTCTTCCACCAATGCACACAGAACCTCCCCCCAGTATTAAAGCTCGGTCACAGTCCTTGACCTACACCACTGATCTGGACTCTATGGAGGTCAAGAGCCCTCTTTTCAGGTTACAGCCCAACAGCATACCACCAACAAATGAGCAAACCAAACTCCAAAACCCAGGTCTCAAAGACAGCGCCCACCTGCCATCTCTAACCCCACATGAGTCAAACCGTCTCTACAGACAGGACATCCCAGTTCCTCAAGAGTCCCTGCTGAGAGATGTTGGACTGACAGTCTACACAGAGACTCCTGGTGGTCCTGGGGAGCCAATAAAGCGCTCACTTTCAGTCCCCTCCCCACTTGATCAGGAGTTTAGTCAGTCCGTGCAGCTCTCATGGAAAAGCAGGACGGCACAAGTTGAAAATAGTAGTAGCCCTGAGCACAATTTGAATATGGAGCTTCAAGCTGAGACTGAGACTGAAGGAAATACCAAATCAGAGAGTGGTCCTCCATTCAGGGAAGAGGTGAATTTAAGTATTTATAGAACCAGAAGTGAAAGCAGCAGATCACCTAAGAAAGAGGCTTCACCACATATTAGCAGACTGACCAGGGAGGTTTCTTTTCTGCTAGAGAATGACAACGGTGATTTGAAATACGCCATCTCTGAGCCTCTGACCTATAAGAATGAGTCAACCATAACAGATAAGCACCTGGAGAACTTACTCAACCAAGAGAAAGCCAATTCCTTACCTGCAGAGGACCTTAGCAACCTGTACGAGGTCAAATGCGCAAAAGGTATCCCAGAGAATGAGTCCATCGAGCAACGGGCTGCCCGAATCCTGGGTATTGCTGTTCCAGTGGAGTCTTTGGGTGTGACTGACAAAGAGTCAGAAGACAACCTGGCAGAAGAGGACACCACTGTGCATAAAAGACTGCAAAGTGAAGATGAAGGGACACAGCAGGTGATGGGAGAGTGTGTGCAAGTCAAAGAGGAGTCCCAGAATGAGCAGGGAGCAGATGACAGAAAGAAGGCCAAGGAAATGGAACTAGAACCTGGACATGAAGATGGAGACAAACAAAAGCACAGCAGCAATCCCAGTGATGGTGCAGACATTAAAGATATTGAAGGTCAGTCTATGATGGCGCTGGACCTGCCCGAGTTCCCACCGAGTAAGCTCCCCCTGTCCCTGCCTGTTTCCGCCAGTGAGAAGCTAACACTGAGCATGTGTAATGTGGAGAAAAAGGGGCAAAGTGGGACATCAAAATTAATTGAATCTCTGCAAGAGAAGCTAACCTCCTCCAACTCATCTTCTACCACATCTCAGGGCAAGTCAACCCCAGAGAGAGCAGCCCGATTGAAGGAGCTGAACTCAGTATCTCGAATACGACGACTCAGCCTCAAAGGTTTAGAGCCTGAGGAAAAGGAAGGAGGCGGAAAGGACAAAAAAGTTCAGAAAGAGAAGGATGCAACCAGCGAGGACCAAGAAGCTCCGGGCGAGGAGGATGAAAACAGAGAGGACCACAAAGTTCAGAAAGAGAAGGATGGAGATGGACAGGGCGAAGAAGTTCAAGAAGAGAAGGATGGAGATGGAGAGGACAGACAAGTTCAGGAAGAGAGGGATGCAAACAGTGAGGACCAAAAAGCTCATGAAGAGAAGGATGGAAACAGAGAGGACCAAAAAGTTCAAGAAGAAACGGATGGAGAGGACGGACTAGTTCAGGAAGAAAGGGATGCAAACAGTGAGGACCAAAAAGCTCACGAAGAGAAGGATGGAAACAGAGAGGACCAAAAAGTTCAAGAAGAAACGGATGGAGAGGAAGGACTAGTTCAGGAAGAAAGGGATGCAAACAGTGAGGACCAAAAAGCTCACGAAGAGAGGGATGGAAACAGAGAGGACCAAATAGTTCAGGAAGAGAAAGATGAAGATAGAGAGGACAGAAAAGTTCAAAAAGAGACAGATTTAGAAGGAGAGGTCAAAAAAGTTCAGGAAGAAAAGGATGGAGATGAAGAGGATCAAAAAGTTCAGGGAGAGACAAAGGAGGGAGGTGTGGAGCAAATGAAAAAAGAAGATGATCAGAGACTTCAGGAGGAAACAACGAAGGAAGAGGAACACAGAGATAAAGATGCACAGGAAACATCACATGATGTCTCATGTGAACCTCAAGATTGTAAACCTGAAGAAGAAGCAGATGATGAAATGCATAAGAATGAGCATAGACGAGAGAGAGCGACAGAAGAAATTAATGTTGAAACTGCACAAAAAGAAGACAATGAAGAAAGGAGAGAAGATTCTGAATTTAAGACGGGAACAGAGGAGGGTCAAGCAGAACAGATTCAAGAAAAAGCAGAAGGTGAAGTGAAAAAAGAAACAGAGCTGATGCAAAAAGCAGAGGAGGCAGAGGAAGAGATGAAGATGAAAACTCTGGAGGGTGACAGAGAAAAGCCTTTGGAAGAGGTAACAGGTGAACAACATACAGTGGTGGTCAGAAAAGTCAGAGCCACGGACGGAGTAGGGGGAAAGAAAACGCCCAAACCAAAGCAACGAACTCGTCTCCAGAAACCTCCTCTGCTTCCTAAACCTCGCAGCGTCCCGAAGAGAGAAATAACGCTGCCATCCAGCTGCAGCTCCGGGACCTGTGGCCCCTCCCACATGGGGGATGAAGAGCTGCTGTCTGTCTCAGGTGAGCATGGAGGTATTTCAGACTGCTGTGAAGTTGAAGCAACCTTAGTTTAGGGGCTAATGATATTATCAGAAAATAATGAGACATTGTGATCCTTTGATTCAAGTAAGTGTTCAGATTTAGTTGTGAAGTCTCTTTAGATTATCTCTTCAGTTCTTGTCTTATTATTGTCATTATTCTACTTAATGTAACCACCTGCTCACTATACATCACTCTTCTTATTACTCAGCTACCAACTAGAGATACAAAGCTGCTCACAATAAGTACAGATCTAAAATTGATTTTATTGATGTAACAATAATTTATTCATGCAGCTAAAATAATCCCTTAGATTCAACAGTTGGTTATGTTTCCATGGCAACAACATTCCTATCAGTCTCTTTGCAGGTCAAATGAACATTCAAACTATTTTAATTACATCAATGTTTTAATGTTAGTCTGATTTACTTTTATAAATCACCCAAACAAACGTAGTCAACCTTAACCGTGTTTGATACAGACAGACTGAAGGAAACCTCTTTTTGCCACAGTTGTCAACAAGCAGAGGTGAAACTAGAAACAGTATGTTCGACTGGACTCCTTCCTGGGGACTGGACTCTAACAGCTTGTCAAAGTCCCACTTTGATCAACTAATTTATTATTTAAAGCGCTCAGTGTTCTTTAAATTGTGATAATGATGTTTTTAGCCAAAATCACATTACCTGTGCCATTTTTAAGCACTTTTCTTCTGCGAGTCATGGGTGGAATCAGCGCTGCTCTGCACCCTCCTCTTCATGCTAGCTTGTAGCCTCACATTGCCAGTGCAGCAGCAGAGACTTGAGTCCCAGCAGAGACTTGAGTCTGAGCTATTCAGCTCTCAGACACTAATGTCTTTGAGGGCATGATAAAAGCTAACATCATAATTAGCTTTCCGCTGATGCAAACACTTGTTGCAGGATTGTCCTCTCTACTTTTCAGGCTCTGGCCTGCAGAGCGGAGTGCTGGGGGCAGAGCTTGGATTTGTGACGTGGGAAATTTCACTGTTTCTGAACCTGCTGTTTGGTTTCACAGCGATTTGAATGCAGAAATACTCAGAAATGCAATTTTGCACTTATTTTTCTCATGATATGTTTTCTAGCATCAGAAAAATGCCATACGAACATGTAGACTACAAGAAAAACATGATTTTCATAGGAGTGGGTCTAAAAGAGACTGTTAAGGTTCATAATGGAGGCATTCTGGAGTCATTACTTGTTGTAAAAACTGAATTATGACAAACAAACCAATCTGAAATCAGGAATCACAGAGTTTGCAGGCAATTAACCTCAAACTGGTTAGCTGAGTCTGGCTACTGTTAGCAGAGCTTGCACCACCAGCCTTCAGTCCTCCTTGCAGGTTAATATGTACATACCTGTGCTGGTTACTCTGGTCAAGTGGTTATTTACCAGTTTAAACAGTTTAACCAGACACAGCCTACAGCCTACAGACAACTTCAGCTTCATTTTAGATTAACAACCGCATCACACTACACAATGACATCTGTCAGCTGTGGCTGTTGACACTTAGGTAAAGGAGCGTTAAAGAAACATGGTAGCAGACATTTAGCAAAGCTCCAGCATGTCAGTCAAACAGTCTCTGAAATGTTATTAATTCATTTAACCAGCTTCCAACCAACTCTGTGTCCTCCGGTTCACCTCCAGCCTAGCCAGAAGTTCTAGTTTTCAGTTTAAGTCATTGTCGTAAACATTTTCAAATGGTGTGAAGCAGAAGGAGAACATGAGTCAAAGAGGTTTGAAGAGAAAAACAATGAAACCTTAGTTTTCTTTCTTGTGGTGTGAACTCCTTGGTGAGGAGTTTTTGAGGACACCAGCTTCTGATGTGGAGCTGCTGATCCGGTCTTTACACCGGAAGTTATAATGAGGTATGTTTGATTTACAGAAGAGAGCTCTACTTTTATCAGTCAAACCCTGAAACAAACCTACATCTTCTCTGTTGCTCTCGTTAGTAGGAAAAATTAAGGGTATAAATCATTTATAAAGACTGCTGTCTAGACTCACTGGAGCTAAAGGACATCACAGACCAGTTCTTATTCCCAGGTGTGGTTTGCTTTGATGGTGTTGATGAATCTTTTCTCTCTTTTCTCATCAGACTCCTACGACCCCAGTCGAGTGGAGAGAGTGTGACCTCTGACTCTGCCTTCACCACCGTGGAAATCTGTCTTTCTCACGTTAACAGCTTTTTCCAACAACAAAAGACTTCATCTCACCTGCCGGCTCGGTCAGCTGGGACCCTCAGATATATGGTCTGCATTATTCCCCACAGAACAAACTGTTCTGGCGCTTCAGAGCATTATTAGAGCCAAATAAAGGCGCCTGCTAGTGCCGATTCTCCGGGCCTTTTCAACCTCAACATCCGTCCTTCCACTTTTCTCCTCCGCTTACAGAGTTTATTTGCTCAACAAAAAAACGGCCTCCAGTTGAAGCTTTTCGTTTTTGCTTTTGGAGAGATGCATGTCATTATACCCGTCTGCACTTGGCTCCTTCTGGAGCTCTGGTGCTGAAATATGAATGTAAAATTGCTTCTGCTTCACAAACAAAAGTAATGTAACACACAAAATAAGGCAACAGTATTGCATTACAATCAGTATTAACCTACACCAAATGTAAATAAGAAAGAGTTATAAAGTTTTATTAAGAATATAAAAAACAATTTAAACATTTAAATGTTGAAGAAGGTATATTTTCTTATCTGTTGAGAAAACACTAGATTTTTTGGACGTGTAGTCTTTGGGTGTGTTACTAATAATGAAACCCTGTGCTCTTTATTCTTCTACTTGTGTGATAGAGAATGTACTCTGAGAGCCTGATGCAATGAGAAACACTGTGGTCCCTGAATAGTTTCACTTAAGAGCAATATAGTTTTCCTATGTGGGATGTTTGTGACATGATTCAAGTTGTAAGTCTCCATTTCACGGAGCTCATTGCATTTAAACGTCTGCTCTAAAGCTCTACCTTTGGTACAAGTGTTGGATTTGCACTGCTGAGATTATTGGCTTTATGTTTCCTGTCAGCACCCGAATAATCTCCTCAAACATTCTGAGATTACACTCCCAGGATTCATGTTCACTCCCTCCCTTTTCCCGGTGCTGTCACTCTCAGCATTAGCAGTCACCACCTGTATCAGATCTAACTTAGTTAATCCTCACACTTTAAAAGAATAATATCTCTATTTTGAGGCACTAACTGGAGTCTCTATGTACCCTTACATTTTTTTCTTTGGTCATGTCTTAGTTTATGTGTGATTTTTGAAGTGCTTTCCTGCAGGAAATGATAGATGTAGCTATTGATCGCAGTGTGCCTTGTTCACACTGTTCTCTGGAGAACTTCACGTGTGTCAAACACATTCAGTATTTTCGTTTCAGGTTTACAAACCCTAATTTAAACTGGACGTCAGTATTTCATCCTAAACTGAAACATTTGGAGTTTTTCTGGCAATAATGATAATAATGATAATAATAAAGTTCAGTTAAAGAAGCTCAGTGTTGTTATTATTGAGAACCTGTCTGAATATAGATGTTCAGTGGGTTAAAGCTCACATATCAGTGCTTTATAAGTCGTGGGAATAACTGGAAATTGGTTTACACTCACTTCACTTATGGGGTAGCAATACAAGTTAAAACATACCAAACCAAACTTAATGCTATGCATCTGAACATCAACATTTACTGGGTCTAACACCAAATTCAAACTCAAACTGCAGCATCTGAGTGCGTGTTTGATCCTGTCTCCTTGAGATCCAGCAGGACTACAGGATGAACCTGCTGGATCTGGTGGATCTATTGGATGCGGTATTAGATCAGTTGGATTTGGTTATTGTGTCTGATGTTGGAACATTAGATCCAGCTGGATCTAGCTTGGGCTCCATATATGCGTGTGATGATCTGGTGTTTCTGGTGTTGGACCTGTTGTTGTATTTTGTGTTGGGTCTATTGGGTCTCATCTTGAATCCAATGGACCTGGTGTTGGATCTGGTATTAGATCTAATGTATCTAGTATTGGATCTGATGCTGGAACTGATGGAACTGGTGCACCTGGTGTTAAATCTATTGTGGGATCTAATGGATCAGATAGATCTATTAGACCATCTGGAGTTTTACCTGGTGTAATATCTGGTGTTGGGTCTGTTGGATTCAGTGTCGGATCTGGTGCTGGAACCGATGGATCTGGTGTTGGATCTAATAGATCTGGTGTGGGATCCAATGGATCTGAAAATCGATCTGTGAGATGATCTAAAGTTTTATCTGGTGTTTGATATGATGGTGCTGCAAATGGATTGGGTGTCGGACCTGGTGCTGCATCTGGTGGATCTGGTGTTAGATCTTGTCCCAGATCTGCTGGATCTGGTGTTGGATCAGGTGTTGGACTTGTGTGCTTGGGGAGTGTTTCTGTTTGGCATCCTTCAGTGCGAGGTCTCGTCGTCGTCCTGTAACCAGCCCAGTAGCCGTACCTCTGTGTTCCAGGTGATGACCTGGTCGTCCTCCTTTAGGTCTTTTTTGTACTGCGAGGTCTTTGTAACAGGATCCAGACTCTTGGTGCACATCTTGCTTTGATATTTTCTATTTTCATACAGAAGTCTGTACAGCTTCTTTTGTAAGCGCGGCATCTTTTTCTTTCTTTCTGGTGCATGAAATGCGTAAGACGTCACAGAGAGGAGAGTATTTGCATATAATTGCATTTGGTACTATATAGTCTATCCAATAAACAACTGTTATATTTCATATAATGTATATTTTATTTTCAAGAAGTTATGCTACATATTTAAAAGGTATTTTTAGATTATTGTGAAAAGGGAATTGTTTGTGACGGCACAATATTTGTCAGTATTTGATCATTCAGAATGGTCAGATAAACGTGTGCTAATGTACAGTGCTGCAGAGTATTCATAAATAAAGTCTTTGCATGAAAAACTGTCTCTGTGAAATTATGTGAACATTAAACCTGTTTAAGGTGGTCAGGGTGTCCACAATCCACTGACTGAATATAACCTTAATATAACCTGACTGAACCAACCTTAGCATAATTTTTCACATTTCTCATTTTCCACAAAACATTACACTAGCTTTTGTTGGGAATTTCTACATTTTGTTTACTCCTTTCTTTGGAAATCCTTAATTTTACGTTTATTCAGGTGGATGTTTTTACAAAGTCACAGTTTGAAGTTACTTTCAATCAATTTTAGATTAGTTTATTGTCAATATTTAAAGGCTGAACCACTGCCAATAAATATATTTGGCAGAGACACAGTATGCAAAGTTTACTTCAACTCTTTGGCAGGTGGGTGCTGTCTTTAAGATTCCTCTTATACACTCATCTATGGCAGTAATTTAAGAAAAGAAGATTAATGTCAAAATGCTGAAAAAGCTGTGAGCAGCCTTTTCACACAGCCCATATACTGCAAGCTGGTTTTAGCTTCAATTCTGCCACCCATGAGGTTTGTCTCCGCATAGCACCAGGACCAGGTAAGATCAAGTACATGTCATTAATGTGAATACAGTGAGCTCTTTGACCAGAACCTGAAGAATATATATGTTTTATATATTGATGTGCTAAAGTATCATTTTCTTCAGTTACCGAAAGTCACATCAGTGTTAAATTAAACAGTAAGAGGCACCATCAATCGATCAATCAACCAACCAACCAACCAACCAACCACTAAATCAACATATCAATAAGTGAATAAATCAGTTGATCAATTAGTCAGCCAATGAATCAATCAAACATTCACACACCACACAATGGTCTCTGTCTTGATTATCATAGCAGTCTGATTTTCACCAGGTGATTCAGAGAGGATGTAGCAGAGAATACCCAAACTCAGTTGTATACAAACTCTGTCTTCAGGAACTTGCACTGTCATACCATAAACTAACAAAATCCACTGTACTTCATCTAATCTACACGATAAAAGACCTGCAAAGGACCACAGTCTGCATCAAATCATGATTTACCCCTCAGTTTGTATTGAGACATGATAATTCTCTCCAGAGCCGGCCCAAGGTAGAAGCGTACTAAGTGCCTGCTTAGGCCCCGCATCCAATAGGAGACCCCCAAGAGCAATCAAAAAAAAATTTAATATTTTTTTTGTTTTTTGCATGTTTAAGTGATGCTTTCTGTATGATCAAATATATATTATTGTAAAAATAGAATAAAGTAAAAACACTTTTTAGTGCTGCTGCTGATGTACTGCCGATATGTCAAAGCTCCGCCACGGTTCTGTGCCTCCTGCTGTGCAACTGCACTGAGCATCCAAAGTGCAGGTAGTTGTTGGGCAAAACAATGTCACAAAAAAGGACATGTCCTTCAGGAGCAGAGAGAAGAAAAAGGAAGAAGAGAAAAAACACCAAGATAAAGGTATGTTTGCATGTCATGGAATGTTAATCAAAGAGATTTGTGAAGGTGTGTGAATGATCAACAATCAATATTATTGGCAGAAATAGAGGGCAACAAAATCAAATTTTGCTTAGGGCCCCAATGAGGCTGCATTTGAACAAACTGGTGAAAAGGGCTGGCTCTGTGGTTGTATTCAAGCTGGACTCACTGGAGGATGTGGTGGAGAAATTTACACTGAGGGAGGTGGAGGCTATTCTAAAGAACATGGATCACCCACTTCATAACACCTTAATGAACCAAAGGGCCAATGGTGGTGGACGGCTCCTCTCTCTTCGTTGCAGGACAGAGAGATTCAGAAGATCTTTTGTACCCACGCTGAATATTGCACTGAATATTGTTTGCTGTTGATTATTTATTGTACTGAAATGTGCCTGACACTGTGGAAACTTAACCAAGGGGTATTGATGACATATGCGCACTGCCCTTCTGGTCTACCAAAATACCACTAGACCAGCAGCACTCTGGCGAACTTTCAGCTCACTTTCTATGCCGTCGGCGGGCATGAAAATATCACTGAGCTATCTGATTCTGTTAACACCTCCCCCTACTGCGCCGCCACGCCCAGCTTGGTGCGCCTCAGTCTACGCAAGTATGAAACTGGCTGTGCGCCAGGCTGCGCTGCACTAAAATACCCCTGTGCCGGGCTGCCTCCCTGCCCTACGCCGCTGGTGGGCACGAAAATAAAGCCCACCATGTATAGGTGAAACTGTAACAACAGTACAGAGATTGTCTGCAGCCTGATAGATAAAATGAGCTCAAATTGGTCACTATGGAATATGACTTTCAATATTTTTCTTTCAGAAGATCGAGCTATTTGCACAACATTTGATGTCATGCACATAATCATGGGACTTGTTTTCCAACTTTTTATGGGACTGTAATTCAAATGCCACAAGAAACTGAATATTAATGAACTAGAGTGAGAACAAGTAAGTTTCCCGGAGGAGAAAGAATGTTTTGGTGAACAAGACATATGCTCTACAAGGTGAACCAAGTAGTTGTGCTTCACTTGTAGTTGTGCCCTTTCTACACCATTAAGGTTGAAGAGACTTTTCTTATGCTCCACCTGCACCCCATTTTGCTCTATTGAAATCTGTGCATCTATCTGGTCAGCTAGTAACAAACCATCAAACTACTCACTGTCTCTCAGGGTTTGAGTAGACGTCATACCTGCCCCCCCCCCCCCCCCCCACCGCCTTATCTTATATTATAAGGATGACTCAAACCGCTTTTAAAGATGCCCATGAATTTATTTCCTGCTATTGATCATTGAACCGTTTTTTACCTGTCTCACTACCAAAAACGGTCTGTACTCATTGTTCACATCAGTTTTAGACTTTGTACTTTTCTTGAATCATTTTTTGTAATTTCTTACTGAGATGTAATATAAAAAGTAACTTAACCCAGAGACATTTCATTCATTGATGCCGTTTTCTGATCATTTAAATATTAAATATATTCAGCTTGTACTGAGACAGTTACAGAGAATACTGCCCTCTTCTGGCACAGATGATTAATAATATAGAGGGTCCGATGATGCATGATGTATTGAACAGTCTAATTCTGTCTCAGATGATTTTTCACAGGGAAAAAAATATCCCTGACCATAACCTGCTATTTAAAGCTGAGGAAAAATCAGTTTAATGTTATGGGTAAAGTTGTTAACTTTTGCATAATAATTATTTTTATAATTACTTTAACATTTATGTGCTTTCACAACTGTCTATACAAACCAAAGAAAATATGAAATTTCATTTATAGTCATTTTCACTTTAAACCCTCTGCCCCTCCACATCTGGCCTCAAAGTAAAACCAGCCTTGTCATCAGTCCTTTACCCAGGGCTAGGGCTTCTCTTTTCCTCCAGTTAACTTTGGTAGAGGACAGTTTACCAAAATTCCCATTTCTTTTCAAACATTAACATCATATGAGTTTTTTTTTTTAACAATAAAAACAAGATAATTAGCACATACTGTCAATTTAATACTATTTTTACAGATCCAGGCAGAGAGACTGTATCAGGTGTCAATCATAGAAAACATGAACCCCCTAATAACTTTTAAAAACGGAGCTTCGCAGAAAAAAAAGAGAACTTGAGCAAAAACCAGTCTTACAGTACCTACATGTCAACATCCCAAGCAGGGGGGAGAAAAATGTATGTTCTGTTGAATTAATTTCTAAAGTTTGCCCACAGCCCCACAAGCTTTGCTGGCGGAGGCGGGATTTATGAACTATACTGCAGCCCATCAACAGAGGGTGCTGTTTTCTGAGTGGCTTCACCCAGAGCAGTGGATTAAACACCCAGCGAGGAGGCAGACTCTGTCCACTCTATATACAGTCTATATGCCAAACCGAGTTGGAAGACACGTTATCAAAAAAGTAACAAAATACAACAACTACCTTCTACCACTGTAACAAGGAAAATGGGAACACGTAAAAAAACCACAAAGCGTTCAACACTCAAAAACACTGAATCACACTCAAAGAGCGAGGGAGAGGGAAAGATTTGTCCTCTCCATCGTCTAATCACAGCGCTGCATGGAGTCAGAAACAGTCAGGGATCCCTCCACAGTGTATCTGTTATTTCGGACTGATACGGATGTCACATTCACTAAGTCACATCATGTGACAGTAACCTAAAGATCCATAACGATGGTGGACAGTTGTGAGATGTTCACTAATGTACCACCAGGACTTACTGACGTCTGACCAGACGGTGATGACAGCGCCGTTTAACTTGCGCCTTTTGGGGACAAAAGAGCTGCGATGGCCGGGAATCGAACCCGGGTCAACTGCTTGGAAGGCAGCTATGCTAACCACTATACCACCATCGCGACTGTAATCTAAAACGAGATGAAGAAAACACGAAGAAGAAGAAGGAAACAAGTGGAGACCATGAAGAGGGAGGAAGAAACAAGAGGGGAAGAAGAGAGAGCAGACGAAAGCAGAGGGAAAGGAGGTAGGATGAGAGGAGGGGGAAGGAGGAGACAAGAGAAGAAGAGGGAGAGGAGACAAAAGCAGACGGGAAGAAGAGGAAAGAGGAGGTAGAGATAATAGGGCCAGCATCAGATGGTGGTGAAGAATGAGATGAAACAGAAGACCTCCTCCTCTCTGCTCTATTAAATTGAGCTTTTTCACGTTATAATTATCGTTAAAGTTTCTTCGGTTTCAGCTTCCCTTTAGGGTTTAAGGTTTGCCCCACATAGGCCTTACATGGACAGTCCTGGTTGGATTTCACCAAGTGGCCACTTTACTATATGTTATTTCCTGCTTCCTGCAAAGTGAATACACTTTTGCATATTCACTGTCCCTTATCAATCAACAGAGGCAAGAAAGGCCCAAAATTTAATAAAATTTTTGTGTTCAATTTATGATCAAGAATTTTGCGGAGCAAAAATGAAATAAGAAACAACTTCCTGTTTATCTTCCCGAGCAGTTTAGTCCTTTTCCATCTTGATTTTAGTTCTATTCATCTGAGCAGTTTAATTCTGTGAATGAGAGCAGTATATTTCTTTTTAATCCGAACTCCCTTTTTAACTGAGTGGTTTACTCAGCCTGATCAACTCCAAAATTAGATGAATAGACTGAAGCTTTGAGTCACTTCTTAGAGCCCAGCTGGTTTCTCCAGCAGGTGGCACTATAGGAGTGAGAGATTCACTGACTTAGTGACACGATCAGCCTGTGAATCATCTGCAGAAAACAGTTGCTGCAGAGTTTATTCATTCATTCATTAGTTCATTTATTCATTCTTAGGGACAGCTGCAGTTTGGACATTTCTAAAGTCAAAAGTTAGAAAAAAATGAAAATTTACAAAAACATTAAATAACCACACCTTTGTGTGTGTGAAAGTTGGTGAATTGATGATCATTGTTCTTCTTATTGTAATTTGATAATTGTGTTCTGCATTAAGCCTTCTGTTTTCCTCTAAATGTTGTAGTTCAATCATAGCGTCTCTGTAAAGCACTTCCTCTGTAACAGACCGACGATCGGTGAAACGTGTGTGTTCCTCCACGCGGCTTCTTCATGCCAACCTTATCTCTGAACAGCCATCTCTCTGCAGTGTTTAGAAGAAAAACCTTCGCATAATTCAAACCTTACAGAGAGAGAGTGAGAGAAAGAGAGAGAGAGAGAGAGAGAGAGAGAGAGAGAGAGAGAGAGAGAGAAACCAAAGCCCTGTAATCTCACTCAGACTAACAGGAATCTGAGGTTACAATGAGCTCTTTGTGACGCTGCAGAGCCAGCAGGTGAAAATTGCTGCAGACCTCACAGACCATGTGATGATACAGTCAGAAGTTTCATCTCTCTCTCTCTCTCTCTCTCTCTCTCTCTCTCTCTCTCTCTCTCTCTCTCTCTCTATGTTTGCATAAAATTCTGATGGCACATGTTTGGGTAATTGACAGCATACCAACTGAGATTAACAGAGTTCAAACCTTTGAGGATTAAGTGATTTTTTAAACGTTAATCCTTAGTTACAACACAAACACCATGGGGGTCCTTAATGTATAATTTTTTAAAAACTGACTCAAACACAAAATTTGAAGGTTTTTGAAGGGGGGGTCATGCATTTTTTTTCAGACTCTATATTTCCTTTTCATATGCCTCTTTAATAGCAGTACCTGATTTTTTGAATCAAAAAAACCCTTAAAGGCCCCCCTTTCCAGAAGCTGGCCTCAAATTTTTTGTCCTGCTCTTTCTATTGTTCTTTCTGTTGTGGTGGATCAGTTGATCAACAAACATATGTTTATCCCATGGTACCCCCTATGCATTCGACGGGAGAGTTGCTGTGATGACGCTCTGCTCAAACAGCGTATCCC